TTCTTTGACTAGTGATGGATATGTTTGTCTCACTGCGCATTTCATAGATAAGAATTGGAACTTGCAGAAAAGAGTGTTAAACTTTAGTTTTATGCCACCCCCACATAGTGGCATTGCTTTGTCTGAAAAACTTTATGCCTTTTTGAGTGAATGGGGAATTGAAAACAAGGTGTTTAGTGTGACATTGGATAATGCTTCTACAAATGGTGTTTCTGTTGACATGTTAAGAGAGCAACTAGTTGTCAAAAGGATTCTTGTACACAATGGCGATCTATTTCACATGCGATGTTGTGCACACATACTAAATTTAGTTGTGCAAGATGGTTTGAAGCAGATTGATGATTCAATTGTTAAGATTCGTGATAGTGTCAAATATGTCAAGGGATCCCAAGTGAGGAAGTAAAAGTTCTTAGATTGTGTGAAGTTAGTTGCAATTGGTGATAAGAAAGGGTTGTGTCAAGATGTACCAACTAGGTGGAACTCGACATATCTTATGCTTGAAAGTGCTCTTTACTATCGCCGTGTATTTCAACATTTAGAGTTGAGTGATTCAAACTACAAGCATTGTCCTTCTAGTGCCGAGTGGGATAAAGTTGAAAAGATTAAAACTTTTTTGAAGTTGTTCTATGATGCAACTCTTAAATTTTCTGGAACAAAGTATCCCACTGCCAACTTGTACTTCCCTTCCATTTGGCATTGTTGCTTCATGTTGAAACAATACTTAGAAGGTGATGATGAGTATTTAAAGTATATGGCAACAGCAATGTGGGGCAAGTTTCAAAAGTATTGGTCTCAATTCCATCTTACCTTGGCTATAGCATGTGTTCTAGATCCTCGTTTTAAGCTTAGGCTTATTGAGTTTAGTTACAAAAAGCTTTATGGAGATGATTGTGTTGAATGCATATCAATGAGGAGTACGTTGTACTCTATTTTTGAAGAGTACAACGTAATTTCTCTATTTATTAGTAATGCGGATGTTCTATGCTTATGTCTGATTGTGTATTCTTATACTATCTTCTTCTCATTTTGTAGGAATTTGATGAGATATTTTTAGTTGAGTCTACTACTGCATCACAGAAATCAGAGCTTGACCTTTATTTGGATGAGCCAAGATTGGCTAGGACCGCGGATCTTGATATCCTTTCCTTTTGGAAATCAAACCAATTTCGATATCCAGCACTAGCTTCTATGGCTTGTGATATATTGGCTGTCTCTGTTTCTACAATTGCTTCTGAAGCTACATTTAGTGTTGGTGGTAGAGTTCTTGATTCATTTCGTAGCTCACTTAAACCAAAGACAGTTGAAGCACTTGTTTGTACCAGAGATTGGTTATATGGAGACAAAGGTAGTTTCAAACTTACTTAAATTATGTATATTTTCTATATTGATTTTAAACTAACTTGTATCTATATATATATTTGTTTTTGTGTAGATTTCAATGAAGAGGTGGAGGATTTTACACAAGATATCTTCAACTTTTCATTGAAAGAAGAGGAGCCTTTCTCACAGGGATCAATTTCTCCTGAACGTAATGATGCGCCTGGAGTCTCCCCACTGCAGCAAATTATTTAAATATTTAATTATTAATCATGTATGTTTGTTTTCTAAATTGTGAGACTTTTGTGTGTTTGTTTTTTAATTTGTTAGAGACTCTAATGTGTTTGTTTTAATTTTGAACTTATATTATGTAATGTCTCTATATCATGTTAAACAGGTTGAGAAACATATTCAGAAATAGGTTCTGAAATAGGTTATGAAATAGGTTCAAACGTGTTGACAGTAATCAGGTCATAAACGTGTTGACAGGTAATTAACGGGTTGACTCGACCCGTTTACAACCTGTTTCGTAAACGTGTTAACAGGTAATTAACGGGTTGACACGACACGTTTATGACCTGTTTAATAAACGGGTTAATCGTGTCGTGTCGTGTCAACCCACTAATAAACAGGTCGTGTTTAGGTTTAGAATTTTGACACGATTAATAAACGGGTCGTGTTCGTGTCAGACTTATTCGTGTCAACTGAGGGGTTCAACACGACACGAACACGACCTGTTAACACGAATTGCCACCCCTATTTACAACGCATGGTAAGAACCAGTCCCACTCACGTATTGGACTGTTGAAAAGCTAATCTAATGATTAAAACAATAGTTCCTACCCGTAAGATAAAAGATCAGCTTTAGCTTACTAACACGGTAAAACATGCCACTTTATTTTACTTGGTAATTTTTTAATAGGTTACACAACAAGAGGCAACGCTTTCCACCATTACGTACCCTTCTTTAGACACGGACCTCAGTGCTGAACTTTCGGACGACGGGCATGCCCGATGCCCGAAAATTTTTGGGCAATCGGGCAGGCCACTCTCGCCGCCCGACCATGGTTTCCTTCGGGCACGGGCTCGGGTAGCCCGAAAATATTAATCCCCCCGACAGCCCGCCGCTGTGGAGAAGCCGTCCCTCGCCGTTCGCCGGATTTTTTTTGAATTTTCCGGCAATACCCGAAGCTGCCCGAAAAGTGCCTGAATTTGTGCCCGAACTGCCCTAATTTCTGTGACCGTTGCCCGAATTTTTGTGACCGTTGCTCGATTTTTGCCCGTTGCCCGAAAATGCCCGATTTTTTTTTTACCGTTAGCCCGAATTTTGAAAAAACGGGTCTTTTTGCCCGAACCCGAATTTTGCCAAAATTTTTGAACCAAACGGTCGGATTTTGTACCGTTGCCCGACCTGCCCGATTTTTGCCCGAACTACCTGAAAAATTTGTAGCTGTTGGACCCGAATTTTTGGGGGAAAAATTTTTTTTTTCAACCCAAAAATTTTCCTATAAATACCCCCCCTCCCCCCAACCATTTTCCTCACCCCAAAACTCTCATTCTCTCTCAATTTCTCTTAATCTCTCTCAATTTCTCTTAATCTCTCTCAAATCTCTCTTAATCTCGCTTAAATCTCTCTAGAATCTTGATCTCTCTTAAGCTCTCTCAAAGCGCTCTCAATCTCTCTTATTTTTCATAATGGCTTCTTCTGGTTATGGTGGTGATATTCCCATTGATGCCCAATTCAACATCGAATAAGGGTAATTTCCTAATGTTTTTCAAACACAGGAATCGCAAACTATGGAAAAAGTTGCTGATGACACTGCAAATCTGACCCCTGGTGGACGTACTATAGGTCGGGGACGCAATGGTGGTGGCACAAGTGGCCGTGGAGGAAAGACAAGCGGTAGTGCTAGTGCAAGTGTTGCAAGTTCTAAGAAGAAATGCAAGCGCACCTCAGCAGTTTGGGAGCACTTCAACACATTCGAGGACGTCGACAATAACGGTAACATTAAATACGTAGCTCAATGTAAATATTGTGGTGAGAAATTACAAGGTAACACTATTCACAACACTACACACTTAAGAATGCACTCTGAAAAGTGTCTTCAAAAGTAAGGAGACGGAGCTAATCTCCGCCAAACGCAATTATCGTTTGACCGCCAAACCGGCGGTCTAAGCACGTGGAAATACAATCCGTAAGTTAATCGTATGGAAATGGCACGATTAATAGCCACATTAGATCAACCACTAAGTTTTCCTGAACAAAGAAATTGGCAACGTTATATTAAAATTGTACATAATCTTAATGCACAATTTTTTTCTAGAACTACTCTTAGGAAAGATGCATTAAAATTATATAAACAAGAAAAGGAAGCATTAATCAACCTTCTATACTCTACTAGTGGTTGCGTTGCATTAACGGTGGATATTTGGTCCGCCGTTGCCAACAAGGATTATTTAGCTGTAACCGGACATTATTATAAAGGTTTTGATTTAGATAAAAGAATCTTAGGTTTCAAATGTGTTATAGGATCACATACTGCCAATTTAATATATAACACAATTTTATCTGTTATTGATGAATATAGTTTAAGAGATAGAATAATGGCCATAACATTAGATAATGCAACTGTGAATACTAAAGCAATAGAACTTTTTGAAAATGATTTAAGTTTATTCGGTAATAATGATATTTTCCACCAACGTTGTGCATGTCATATAATTAATTTAATAGTAAAGTCCGGTTTAAAATCAATGTCAGGTCATATTAAAAGAATTAGAGATAACATTGCTTGGATTCAAGGTAGTAATCAAAGAATACAAGATTGGTTTAGATTTTTACAAGCATGTAATCAAAATCCTAGAGCATTAGCCTTAGATATGCCCATAAGATGGAACTCCACTTACATAATGCTTGAACAATGCATCCCCTATAAAGATGCTATAACAAATTATGTTAGTGCAAAATTAGGAACAGGATTTATAGATGAAACTGATTGGCAAATTGCCGAACTTTTGTATAACTTTTTAGGTAGATTTCACGAAGTTACCTTAAAGCTTAGTGGAACTTATTACCCAACTTCACCATTAGCATTAGGAGAACTTTTAAGAATGTCTATTTTATTTAGTGAATTAAGACACACGAAGTTTTAGGAGTTCCTATCACCTCTATGGAAAAGAAGTTTAAAAAATATTGGTCTAAATTACCCGTGTTGTATAGTTTCGGTGTTATTTTTTACCCTAGATTAAAATTAGAAGGTTTAGAAAGTGGATTAGATAACTTAGGTGAATTTTTAGCTATAGACACTACTGACCAGTTTCCTATTATAAAGGAAAAAATATATTCTCTATATATCTCTTACGAAAGTAGGTTTAGAAACACACCCCGTGTTGAACAACCGCAACAACGAGACGACAATCCGCATTCATTCTTGAATGTTTTCGGGTAACAACGAGACGACAATCCGTATTCATTCTTGAATGTTTTCGGGTTGTCTAAGAAGAAGAAGAAGAAGACGACGACGAAGAGTCAATGTCAAGAAGAATCTGGGAGTGGAAGTGGATCTTCATCAAGAGGTGGCGGCGGATTCAACGAGTTAATGGCGTACCTGAGTGAGGGCTTAGTTATAGACAGTAGTGAAATGTTTGATTTGGTTGAGTGGTGGAGGGCACGATCATTAACTTGGCCGATCCTAACACGACTGACAATGGATATTTTTTCGATCCCGGTCTCCACTATTGCAGCTGAACAAGCATTCAGTACAACCGGCCGAATACTTGAAGAACGGAGAAACGCATTGCAGCAGGATATTGTTGAAGCTTTGGTGTGCATCAAGGATTGGGACCGTTCCAACCAACGCTTACACGATACAATCTCACCGGCAAACCAAGAATGGATCGACGAATTTAATAGATTAACTTTTAATTTTCAAGATGATCATTCTGCTTCAAATTAAATTTTATTATTGTAATTTGTAAATATTTATTTACTTTGTAATTTCTAATTTGTATAGTGTTTATTGTAATCTTGTATAGACTTTGTAAGTTCGTCAAATTTGTAATTCATCCCACAATGATTGCACTCTTTTTTCCTTACCAAGTTTTTATCCCAATTGGGTTTTTCTTGGTAAGGTTTTTAATGAGGCAATCATGAATTACAAATTTAAAAATCAATGAAGAAGTAATTTTTTTATATAGTTCGTGTGTTCATTTCATATTTCAAATTGTAATATACACATTGTAATTATACAAATACTTATTACTTATTATACAACATAAAAATATAATATAAAAAAAATAAAAATTTCGGGCAGCCGGTCGGGCATCGGGCAGCCCGACCGGGCACGGGCAGGCATCCTCAGCCCGAAGCCCGTCCATGGGCAATTTTCGGGTCGGGTCGGGCAGCCTGAATTTTCGGGCAGTTCAGGTTCAGTCATCGGGCAAAAATTTAAACTTTTCGGTGGTCACAGACGGCCCGTCCAAAGTTTCAGCACTAGACACGGTGCAAGTTGTCAACTAAACTAGATTCTCCCAGTTCTAAAGCCCGATGGCTTAGGGTCGGACCGAAATCTTATAAAGTATTTTCAAAAAAAATTTCAATTAAAGTATTTAGGCAGTCCGGGCTTGAAATCTCGGCCTAATCCAACCGGCCTAACAATGACGGGCCGGGTGTCGACCTGTTTTACCCAGCCCAAACTTACCGTCTATGTACCACTGCAGTCAATTATTGGAATTAATTATTGGCCTCAACGAGTGAGTATTGGTTGTTGACATTTTGTCAAGGATCTAAGATCTTTTCTTGATAATATTGAATTATTGATCCCTTGTCAATCGTTAGGCCCTGGAAGGTGACTAGTTGTCACCCAGTGAGTGACCCCGATGGCCAATTTTAATGGGTTGTTGAGCCAAAAAGATCAAATGGTGTTTAAGGAGAGGATATAAATATTTAGGTTTGTCTCTAGAGGGGAATTTGTCTGATTATCCTATAAAAAATATTTATGTTAATTATATATATATATATATTTATATTACTAGTGTCAAATGGTTTCAGAATATACATTTAAATGGTTTCAGAAAAATATTTAAACATTTAAAAAAATAAAACCCCCTAAAAACTTAAATTTAAAAAAATAAATCTTTTTTCATAAAATTTTCTAAAAAATATTTTTGAGAACTGAACTCCATCTTAAAAGTATTTGCCAAAGTATGTAAAAATTGAAACAAAACTCTTAAATTTAAAGAATAAATTGTAGTTGCTGAAAATAGAGGGATACATTATACGAATAAAAAGTGACATTAAGAGGTATATTTATAGAATAACCATTAAAAACTTTTAACTCAACCTACAATATAATCATAAATAGATTTACACCTACTCAATAAATAGATTTACCTTTAAGTGGTCCGTCCATTTCAATTCTATCTAGTTATCGTTGCTTTTATTTAGTTTATTTACAATTGGTCAAAATTTTCGTAAGGTTTTCATTCAAGTCTCCCACATTAACTTCTTGATATAAAACTTGTACTCTACAAACCAAAGTTGTGCAAATTAATTAAAAATGTGATGTTTCTCATTTAACTGTGACGCGTAAGAATTTATAGTGATCATAGGTGATAATATTATAAGCTAATTGATAATATAGAATTTGATTAGTTTTAAGAAAAAGTCTCCGCTGGCCCCCAAAAAAAATATATTTTTTTAAAAAACAAAAATATGGTTTAGAGGTTAAGGCCCCGTTCATTTCGCTGATTCGAGTTTAGAATTCAAGTTTTGTTACAGTAAAAAGCTATCAGAAATAATCACATTTAACTTTTTTGCTACAGTAAAAAGCACTCACATAAAATCACTTCTCAACTCGAATTAAAAACTCAAATCAGCGAACTAAACGGACCCTAAAAATATTGACTAAGCCTAAACATGTCAACTCAAATCACTACTTAACAAAACTAAACACCAAGCCTTATCCAACTCCAGTTAATCAATTATAGGATGTTTAGTAGAGAGATTCGTTCCCTGATTCGAATCATAATTTGTGGTTCGTTACAGTATTTTTTCTCACAAAAAATTCACGTAAATCAAAAATAGTTTGAATCACATGGTTTGAATTCTCCAACCAAACGTCCTCTTAGTTTCAAAGTTAAGCTCTACTATACGAGTCATCTCGTGCCTATATATATATATATATATATATACATATTTAACTTCAACTCCTAATTAATATAATCAGTTTTCATGCATAAAATTATCCAAATACCAATCCTACAGAATTGGGCAAAATGGCATATAGCCTTTCCAGTTTCCATTGAATAATAATGAGCATATATACAAATTGTACAAGTGTTGTAAGAATTGGACAAACTAGCGCTAGATTGGTTTTGGGGCCAACGGTTATTAGCGACGACATGTCGTCGTGAATAATTTGTCAAATTTTAACGACGATATGTCGTCGCAAATAGTGAACTTTTATGCAATGACATGTCGTCGCAAATAGTGAATGCGACGACAGGTCGTTCAAAAATTTTATTTTCTTTTTGACGATGACATGTCGTCGCTAATATTGTAATTTTAGCAACGATAAATGGTGTCACTAATAACCCTTTTATTTGTAGTGTTGCTCTATGACTTTTGAAACCTCCTATAGTTAATTTATGATCTAATACTCTATTTCAGTTTTAATCATTTCATTAACTAGGTGTTAAATATTTAACGGACTCTATGAAAATCAAGGACTAGGAACAATCTAAAATTATCGTGAGAAAAGAATATTAAACAATTCTGTTGGTAATGCTTTATAGTAAAAAGTATTTGGTTCTTTTTAACAAATGACAATACAAGCTAACTCCTGTATTAGAATCTCAGCAAAAACAAAATCTAACTAGAATGCAACCAAAAAATCTTTTAAATTAGAGATATTCAACAAAGTAGCGATGTGAAATAAGAGTCTTCTAATAAGACAATCACACAATATAAAAATATATCCAACTAAATCCTTTATATATATATATATATATATCCAACTAACTAGCACAAACGATTTTTTATATAAATTAAGAACGAATCATTTACATGCAACTTTTCCTTACTTTGACAATTGCAACATTTTTACATGCAACTTTTTTTCTACAAAATTTTTCTCTTGACTTTGACAATTGCAAGCTTGACCAGCTGCGTGAAATTTAAGCAAAAGAATTCATGGGAAAGCTTTAACGTATAAAACCAGTTTGACCAGTTCAACTTAGAATGATATTGATTATGTGGTTGCATTTTCCAGTTATATAATTAAGTGGCATTACAAATGTTGATCAATCACAATTGGGAAAATTGTTTTTTAATTGGCAATCAGAAGGCATCTTCTTTTCCTGTAATTTCGCATTTAGCTGGCATACATTTGATTTTTTTTTTTCTAAGTCTACTTTTCCTGTATAATGTGGCATCCAAATACGTATGGTGAATAGATCAATCTGTTAATAACATACTGTCCATGATTCTAGAAGGATATAGAGAAAAGCAGCACTTTGCCAAACTAATGAACTCACTTTTAGCTTTTCACGCTTCACATTTTAACTCATATCAAGTTTATTTGTGCTTCACTACAATATGACTCCTCACGCAGTGCTTGCCATCTGACCATTTCAACCATCCAAAGACGTAGTCTCTAGGCTTTCCAGCAATCTTTGGCTTCATAATAATCTTGAATGTCTTCTCTTCGCCAATTCTCTTGAATTTCAAGGTTTTGGGCTTAACAGAAACTGAAACCCCGGCCGGAGCCTTCACATATGCGGTATAGGTGCCCGGTATGCCAACATTCTTGACTTTCCTAGTAACAATATTCACTTGTTCAGAACCAAGATTAGGAACCGCAATTGAAGGGTAGTTGAAGTTAACCAAGGTAAATGACTTGGAACATTTGTATGGCTTATTTGAGAACAACTTAATGGTAGTTTCATTATAGCCATGCGCACATAGTAAGTTTAAATAATCATCAATGGTTAAGTCATAGACAAGTCCTGGGTCCATAGCACGATTTGGTTGGACATGCCCCGCACCATACGCGAAAGGTGTTGCTCGTTGCATTGTCGCCGCGTCCAGCATTTGTTCCCTGTTGCTATCTCTAGTTCTAGCTGAAAACGTTGTAAGTAAGGGATAATTAGGAATGACATTACAAGCATTTGTGAATCTTTATGGAACATAATGGGTGCGTTTGGAACTCATTCTAAAATAATTTTATTTTTTGTATGAAAATAAAAATGAAAAAATTTTCAATCCCAGACATAAATTATTTTTAAAAATGCATTTGGTAGTTTTATCAAGAGATTGTTTTCGGTATAAAAAAACTCATTAATGTCTCTCTCTCTTTCTCTCTGCTAGACAGAGGAGAAAACGAAAACAAAAAATGAAAAACGACTAAAAGTCATTTTTTATTTCTCTCTCATTTTACACTAAACTAAAAAATCATTTTTATTTTCATTTTTTGTCTTTATTGCGGCAAACGCCGTTTTAAAAACGTTTTCATTTTTTCTTTCTCAAAAAACATGAAAAATAAAAACGGGATCAATTCCAAACACGGTCAATGTTTATATCTAGTTTTAGTTGGATGATTTTTTGCACCTGTAGTCATGATGGCAGATCTTAGGGCGGCTGGACTCCAATATGGGTGAAGTGTTTTGAGAAGACCAATAACTCCAGAAATATGAGGGCATGACATTGAAGTCCCCGATTTAATGTTGAATGGAACTCGACGCTCATCCGTCGTTACTTCAAGAGCTCCGGTACCTTCGGAGTATGCAGCGATAATGCTCACTCCTGGAGCAGTGAGGTCCGGCTGAAATGAGAATTAGAACAGAACCATGGAGTTAATATAATCCTAACATAGAATCTAGAGAAATTTTCAATAAAAAGGTAACAAAGCCGACCTTGAGAATTGTTGGCTCGATGAGATTAGGTCCTCTTGACGAGAAAAATGCCACTAGGGGAGCTGGTTTTACTCCCAATTGAGTCTTTACCCTCGTCATGTAAGCCATAGGAGTCCTTAATGTATAAATGTATGAGATCAATAAGACACTTGATAAGTTATCATTAAGGTTGTGAACTAGAAAAGCAAAGATTTTAAGATCCTAAAATTGTGTACTTTGTAGAATTGAGGTACTCAAAGATGAATTCGCCATCGGTGAAATTGATATGAGAAGCAGGGAGCAAATGAGGATCAGCAATGACATCGTTCCACCTTCGAATATCATTGGCCAAAATCATTCCGACAGCGCCTGAGTGAAAGGCCTGCTCACCCATTTCAGATCTCGCAAATTTACCCCAAACGCAGACCAAGATATTCCCCTTCACCTTCTTGGGATCAAGAGCTCCACGCTTACATTGCTGACTGCATGAATATGATTATTTTGTTATAGTTGATATGTGAAATTTTTTTGCATCTCTTATTGTAAAAGCACACATTTTTATCATATAGTTTGGTTTTACTCACGCATCTGAAGTAGACGCTTTAGCGGCTTTAGCATCTGCACCACTGATCAACGGGTAAAACTTCTCCGATGGCAATGCACTAGAGGAAAGACTTGCTCCCTGACATTCAAAATTCCAAATTAATCTTATCAGGAATAAAGTTAATAATTTCTTATTGATTAAACAAGATATGCATAACTAACTTATAATTAATAACTCGTTAATTCTAGCAGTAATTACCATGTATCAAAATTTGGTAAATAACTTAGTCCCCAAGTATTATTTGTTCACAAAAGGATCCAAAAGTAGTGGCAAAAGAATAGATAGCGCCACAACTCTTTGCATGACATGCTTAAAAAGCAATGAAAGGACGGCATACCTTGAGGTGCTTTTTGTCGCCAAGGGCAATATAACTGGTAAAATCGCGATCAATTGTGCTGGCGCCGACGGTGACGAGCCATGGTGGCACATTCGTTACGGTCTCGGGACCAGGCCCTTCATTGCCAGCCGATGTGACCACAGTGATGCCATTTGCAACAGCATGAAAAGCCCCTATGGAAATCGAGCTATCGAAAAATTCTGAAGGCGAATCGGTACCAAGAGACACAGAAAGCACATCAACGCCATCGTTTATGGCAGCATCAAATGCAGCTATAACGTCAGCTTCAAAGCACTCATGCTCATTGATCACGGGCCAGCAAACCTTGTAAGCCGCCACACGGGCTCTCGGGGAACCACCCTTTGCGGTGCCATTGCCGTAACCAAACACATTTGCACGACGGACGAAGTTGCCGCCGGCTGTGGAAAGGGTATGAGTCCCATGACCGTTGTAGTCCCGTGTGGAGAACAAGTATGGATTGTGTTGAATAGAGAAGGTGAAGTTGTTAGCCTTCGAGTAAGCAATATATCCTTTGTTAAAGTACCTTGCTCCTATCAGCTTCCTAGGAAGTGAGGGATAATCATATGAATGTCATGCTCTTTTTCACTTTGGTATAGCTAGATAATTTTCGTTGAACAAGGTATAATTACTCATAAAGCATATAAATTTCGGATTATCGTTCTTACTGACTCCATCTTCATTACCATCATCAATCATTACGATAACTATCATCAGGGATAAAGGATAATTACTAAATACCTCTTCATACATACATATATATATATATAACCTTTTTCTTCGGTCCCTCCGAAGGGACTATCGAACGTAACAGGTAGAATTGAAAAAAAAATATATATATATACCTCTTCATATATATAGTTTTTTTCTTCGGTCCTTTCGGAAGGACCGTCTCTCAAATATAACATGTAAAATTGAAAACGGAACATGATAATTATTAAATGTAACATCGACGTTGGACATAAGTAATATAGTCTTTAGATGACTAAATTGTTTGGTATTATTTCTCTAAAAAATTAACGGTTATTTCATAATTATCATATTACGTTTTTATAGCTATATATTACGTTAGAGAAATCTCCCACCAGAAGGGTATATATATATACACACACTTTATCTTTTTGTTTTTAGAAGCTATAAATTAATGTAACTTTTCAATTTAAAAAACTTATTTCAATTTTATCCCTTGCACACTTTTGTAGAAGAAAAAGGAATATTAAAGCAAATGATCCTTTTTTAGGTTTTTTTAATAAATGGCCGAAGTTTTGTAAAATTAAGAAAATTATAGTTTTTTTAATTAATTTAACAATCAATTATTGATTGGCTTAGTCTATCACTGAATTAACTTCATGATTCTTTATCATCAATCAATATAAGTTAGTAATTACCCAAAATCAGTAAAGTAATAAATAAATTCAATAAATAAATTATATGTATATTAATGATAAATTATTAATAAATTAATAATGAATCGACCAAATGACTGGCCGTGGAGATGAACATTCTTTAGGAAAATGACCGAGTTTTTTTTTTTTTTTAAGTAAAACTCGATGTTCGGCCATTTATTAGAATAGGTGTTCAAAAAAGGTGATGTACATAATTTTCCGAAGAAAAACATAGAAAAAGACAAAAATACCCTTAATTAGAACAATTTTATTTTTAAGAAATATTTTTTGTGAAAGAAAATTAATGAAAACCACACCACGTAAACATTTGGAAAACAAAAAATTCCATATATGATGGAATTTAATTTTTTTTTTAGGGTTTTATGCTTTCTAATAAATGTTTAGAACATTCTTCAGAAATTGTTTAAGCGTATTTTTTTCTTTATAGTCCTAATATTTTCATTCACAGTGTGTGAGGGATGATGTTGAAATTATTCTTTTTTCAGGGTTGAGATGATTTTTTTTTTCAAATAGAAAGGATACATTTGTAGTTTTTAAAAAACGAAGACATAGATTATGAAAAATAAAATAAAATTAGAAGGTACTTTGAAGTAATAACCATTACTATTATTATTATTACAATTATTATCATCGTTAAAACACTCACTATTATGATTTTGATCCTCATCATGATTATTAGAATTATTATTGAATTTACTTTAATTTTAATATTCTTATATCTTAGTTTATTATTTGTAAAAATCAAAAGCATACAATTACCTGTATTGTACATAATATATCCAGATGAGTAATGATACAGATACCAACTCAAATATCAATTTTTGTGTACTAATTAATATGGTATGTGAGTTGTTATCTTTTTATTGGAAGATGTAATCTCTTATTATTAGTTGACATAATAATGTTTTAAAGGTGCTTCTATTCACATACTCCTTTTTACTTTCTAGACGCCTTTTACCTTAAATTTTTCTTATGACAAAAACACCCTAACATACAATGACAAAAAAAAAAATATGGCATATTTAATTATGTAATTAAATTTAATTAAAAAAAACTAATTATATAGCTTTTATCTCTCTCTCCACATACCCTACATGCTATATCCTAAACTATAAACTATTGCTATTTTAAAATTTTTTTTAAAAAAAACCCTCTAATTTTACCTTTCAATGGCTATTCCAAAAAATTACATTGATATAATGTTAAATTTTTTTTTGCTATTAGTTGTATGGCAATTTTTATTTTTTTTTCAATTCATGTTTATATTTTTTTTATTGATTTTTTTTAGACTAATAATTTTATTTTGTGTTTTATTTTATTTTTTTATAAAGTTGGATTGATTTTTTTTTCTCGTTTCATCTTCTATTTTTTTGTTTATGTTTTGAAAAAGGCGTCACACCCATAACTTTAACAAAATAAACAATATATATATATATGAAGAGATAGAGAAATAATAATATTTAATAAACAAACTAAAATAAAATGGTAGATGTGAAAAGAAAATTAAAATGGATAAGAATTAATTATTTCATAAAAATAGTTAAGGGTAATCTTGAAATAATAGGAGTGTGTAAAAAATAAATTTAATTTTTTTAAAATTATGTGGGATGTATATTTAGAAAGGATACAGAGAGTAAAAATAAATATGTGAATAAAACTATTTATGTTTTAAATATTAATTAATATAAAATAATAACTCATGTATCATATTAATTAATATATAAAAATTAAGATTTAAATTAGTGTTCTACATTATACGTATCCAGACAACAAACACTACCGTCAAATAATATGAGTGCCATGACTTTGTCAAACTTTTTATTTTGGGCCACTCTTATCTTTTCGAGCTTTATCATAAAGTCACTTTTAGAAGTCACTTTTTTATATAAAATTAAAGTCACTTTTTTATATGATGCATTTTCATCTAACAGTACAAAAATGTTGAACAAAAAATTCATGAATCCACATCTCTTGTGGAACACAAACAACAAACAACTAAAACTGTTCCTTTTGTTGTGGGAACAGGGGATTGCTTAAGTAAAAGCAAGACAAGAGAAAACGAAAATGGAGGCCAACCACCATTAGCAGAACATGACTAAAAAAGAACAAGAAAAAATTTTCCCTCCACAAAGGAAAAAAAAAAAAAAAGAAGAAGAAGAATAAGAATTCGGTAACCAAAAAAAAAAAAAAAAGTTAAGAGAAAAACAAAGAAGATGGTTAGAGGATGGACCTGTTGCAACGTACTCCGTCTTTGACGCCATCTTGACAGATTCCGCGCCACTTTGATGGGACGGGTCCAAACCCTTCGCCGCTAAAGCTCTTTGATTCAGGCCAAACACCTACCACACAAGTTCAAATCATATGGTATTCAGGGGAATCATAAAAAAGAAACAAAACTGGAAAAGGCTAATTCTGTCATTCACTCCATATTCTTTGTATGAAATATATATACACACATATATTATCATAGAAACATTAAAAATAACTAAAGGAACGTTTAGTTAGAGAATTTAAATCATAATTTGAATCATGAATCATGATTCGTTATAGTATTTTTTCTCACAAAAAATACACGTAAATAAAAAATAATTTTAATTATATGATTTTAATCTATGAATCAAACGTCTCCTAAACTCACTGCGGTTGTAGCTTAATTTGCCTAACAGTAAATGTACACCCACTTCAACAACGAGATCTTGAGTTCAAATTATTCTCCCAACACTTCAATGTCTTTATAAAAAAAAATAAAAATAAAAAATAAAAATAAATAAAAAAACCACCTTACCAAAATCTATATTTCCAATAATTGTGTCTTCACCATATCGTGCCTTGTTCCAAATAGAGTCTGAAGGAATCCCCCCATTTGTTTCAAGCCTAAGAAAATCCCATGAACGGGTCGTATGCAGTTTCATTCCTTTATCTAAGAAGATTGATACAACATTTGGATGCTCTGTAGATGTATATACAAAGCCAATATTATTGTTGGACTGTTAACATGGACAGCATAAACAAGGGAAAAAAAAAAGAGAAAATGGAGAAGCACCTAAAAAAAAATTAAAAAATAGAGCACATTACAAATTGTTATATAAAAGATGAAATTAAGGTCTCGTTCATTTCACCGATTCGAACTTTCAGTTTTAAGTTTCTATAATTAAAAGTTCTCAAAAAATATCACATTTAACTTTTTCTGTTACAGTTAAAAACTCTTAAAAAATGTCACGTCTCAACTCAAATTAAAAACTCGAATCTACAAAACGAACGAGACATAATTCTTACATACTTGCTATCTCTGCAGCTTTTGTGTCGTCTAGGATTGCAGCAAAGCCATTGATGTGTCTTGTGTACGAGTAGAAGATGGCGTCTCTAACCTTCTCATCGCTGCGCGAAAAATTATAAATAAAGAGGAAACCAGAGGCAATGCAGAAGATGTAGTATAAAATTAAGTTATTACCTTTCCAAATATGATCCAAGGAAACTGTAATGTGAACTTGTCGCGCGCTCTAGATCAGTCGACGAAGGGTTTGGACCGTGTGAATGTGATCCCAAGTACACAATATAAGGCTGCAACACGAGAAGAATTTCAAGACTATATTCGTTAATGGCGAAAGTGTCAATTGCATGAAGAAAGAAGAAAGATGAGTTATGTATGCTTGCCTTCTTAGTGGCCTGCGTTGGCGTCTGCAACAGAGAGAGAACAAGAAATATTAGCAGGAAAGAAGGAATATTGGCACAATGTAATCTCATACTTCTGCTTTGAAGCATCACTTTTACTAAACTTAAACCCAAGCAAAACATTGCAGGAACAATAATGCTCTTATATATGTGTGTATATATATTCCCTTTTCTTTTTGTTTTATTTTTAAATATAGCAAATATCCATGTCTAAGATCCTATATTACTTTTTTTTATCACGCGATTGAGAAAAGAAAAACATAAGGTGCGTTTGAAACTCGTTCTAAAATAATTTTATTTTTTGTATAAAAATGAAAATGAAAACGTTTTCAATCTCAAATAAAAATCATTTTTGAAAATGCGTTTGATAGTTTTACCAAGAAATTATTTTCAGTATAAAAAAACTCATTAATGTCTCTTTATCTCTCTCTGCTCGAGAGAGGAGAAAACGAAAATAAAAAATAAAAAATTTATCACTCATTTTACACTAAACCAAAAAATCGTTTTCATTTCTGTTTTTTATCTTTATTGCGCCAAATGCCGTTTTGAAAACGTTTCTATTTTTTCTTTCTCAAAAAACATGAAAAATAAAAACGGAATCAATTCCAAATACTACCATAGTAGGTCATGTTTTCTTTTTAAGATCTAAGTACTAATCTCTCAATTCAAAAATTTCACAACAAAGCATTCACGATGATTTGTATCATGTTAATAGTAATTATAATTATGTTGTCCATTTAGTGACTCTTTTGGTTTTAGTTTTAGGTTAACCTTATTACGTTCGAACCCTTACAAACAAGTATCATGTAACTATGGAACTTGTTTGGACACTACAAACAACATTCATGAAATTCCGACTTGAGCGAGAGATGTACCATTTGCCTGACAACAATGTTGATACACTTTTCTATAAATAAATAAAAAATTAAAATTAAAAAAACAATGCTGACAAAACTAACTCACGTGACTCCTTACCAAACGGACTTTTGTTTTCTTCTCAAACATTGGCCTTTTACTTTTTCTAGTAGTTCCAATGATTCCCTTCCGAACGGACTTCTGGTTTCTTCTCAAAGATTGGTCTTTTGCTTTTAAAAGCATATCATAAAATATGGTTTCTCTAGAAGCTTTGATTCGATTACTCCCTACCAAAACCAACTTTTAAACTTTAAAGAGCATAAAAAAGATTGGATTATTTATTGAATGGATATTAAAATAACCCTCGCTTACTTATATTTCCATATGTTTAGTACAAGTACTATAATTTTTACATTCCTCGGAAATAAAGCCCATGAGATTCACTTTTTTTGCAAATAGAGCTAAAAAAAAGGGGAAAAAAGTAATGTAAGAGAAAAAAAGGAAAAAAAATGGATAAAAATTTAGCAAAAGGGAAAAAAGAAAAAAGAAAGAAAGGAAAAAAGTTTTAAAAAAAGGACAAACTCCAAAACTGTGCGATTTGGACTACTAAAACCCTACAGTAAAATAGATTTATACTCTTTTATATATTGTGGTTATAGAATACAATGGTAGACAAAAAGAGTTAAAAAATGATAAGTAAAACAAAAATAAAACTTTAAGCGGTTTTAAGAATAATAAATTATAGTAGACAAATAGAGTAAAAAAAGAAAAAAAAAGTAATGTATGTGAAAGAAATGATAAAAAAAAAGGATACAAAATTAACAAAAAGGAAAAAAAAAAAAGAAAAAAAAAGAAAGAAAGAAAGAAAGGAAAAAAAAAAAAAAAGACAAACTTCAAAACTGTGCATTTTGGACTACTAAAACTCTACAGCAGAATAGATTTCTACTCTTTTATATATAGTGGATAGTGGATAGTGGATATTGATAGATATATAAATAGGTAAGGTCTTTAAACTGGTACTTACTGTTTGTCAGACTGAAACAACAGTTATATAATTCTGTATAAATAGTGTATATTTATATATAAAGTCATGTATATTTACATGTAAAGATGTATATGTTAAGTTATAAAAAATGACAATGTATATTAATCCTCGAAACATGTATTTTTTATAGAAATTAAGTGAACACATAGCATAAAAATATGTATATTGGTTAATTTGTTGTATTTCATGTTAATGACCGTAAGCGATAATGTATACCAATATACATATTTTTATGCTATGTGTTCACTTACTTGCTATAAAAAATACATGTTTTGAGGATTAATATACATTATTGTTTCTTATAATTTAACATATATATATATTTACATATAAATAACGACTTCACATATAAATATACACAATTTATGCATAATTATACAACTATCGTTCTGATCAGACATAATTCTAAGTGTCTTACTAGAGATAATTCCTATATAAATATCTAACAATACATAAAAAATACATAAAAAAGTCAAAAAAAATTTTACGGTGGTAGTCCTTCTACTTTTCTTTTAACTTTTTTATCTTTATTTTTGTGTGTGTTTTTTTTTTACATTTTAATTTATTACGTGTTTTTTTAAAATATATATTTTTTATTTTATTTTTATGAGAGTAATTTTTTTATATTTTTATATTTTATTTTTAATTAATTAAAATAATTTTTTTAATTATGTTGATAAGTGCACGAATTTGCACTTTTAATATTCATAATTGTCAAATTATTTTATCAAATTTGTGATTTTAATTTTAAATATTCCTAAATTTAGAGGATTTAATTTTAATTAGATTTATTTTATTTTTCAGGTTTTTGAAGAAAACAAATTATATTTGGGCTAGTTTACCAAGCAAAACCCAAAAGTTGAGCCCAAGAAAAGCCCAATTCGGCCCAAAGCCCATCAGCCCATTGTCCAGCCGAGCCGAGCCGAGAAGCCGCTAGCCAAGCCAAGAAGCCGCGAGCCAACCCAGCCGCCATGTGTCGACCACTGCCGCACCGCAGGACCGTGGGACCCAGCTGTCCCCTCGCAAACGCGCGCTTGGCGCGCACCACCCACTCCCCTGCGCGAGTCTCCTCCACACGCGCGTCACCCGGATTTTCTTTCCTCTCCGCGTGGGTCCCGTGTACAGAAGCCCTCCAACCACAACACACCATGTGGTCCTGTGTGCAGTTGCTCCCCCGTTGCTTCCCCACGCCAGCAAGCACGCTTTGCGCGCACGATTTCCCTCCCCGCGCGCGTCCAGTCTCCCTCAGCGTGGGTCCAGCTGTGCACCACATCTCTCCTGCGTGCGAATCAACTTGCGACACGTGTCCCACTCTTCAGAAACGTGATGGTTTTTCTCCCCCAATTAAGCCTTGTAACTTCTTAATTAGGATCCAGTTTTTAGCTTTTTTTAGCATTCTCAAAACTCTATAAATAGGGCCATTGTCAAGGTGATTAGGGGTTAATTTTTTTAGTAGCCTAAATTCTCACACATTTTCTATTATTTTCTTGTTCTTATTCTCATACTTTCTTTTTAAAATTTTATGGGAATTATGTGCAAGCTAGGCTAGAGGATTTAGGTGAGGCTAGAGATGATCCTATATGTGTAGTGAACTTATTTGGATTTTTGATTCTCCAATGGTTTGTAAGTTTTATACATTTGAGTAAATAATTTTCTTTTATCATATTTCTTCTTCTTATCAATATATTTTATTGTCAACTTTCATATAAATCTAGTGAAGCTCTTTTTATGTGATTGTTGGATTATATTATATATTGATAGGTATTATTTTATGAGTAGTCTTTTACTGCAATATTGCCAACGGTATATTGTCGCTCCTAGATTTCTCATAAGATAATTTTTCCTAATTCTAAACGTTAGAATTTTATTTACTCGAATACATTTTTAATTCATATGATCTTTAAATATTTATTTTCCGATTGATTGTTTGGGATGTGAAACTTTCAATTGAGTCAATTTATGAATCAAAATCCAATTAGGTGAACAAAGCATATGGAGGATTCTCAAAGCTTTACCACTTTTTTTTATTATTGAATTTTCTCCATTTTAAATTGTTCAAAAAAAATCATCAAAAACACTCATTCTTTTTCTTTGTTTGATTGCTTACTTTCCTAACGCTTTTTATTTGCTAGTCATTTCTTGTTCAATTTAACACTTGCTCGTGGGATCGACCGTTCAAATTGTACTACAATTAACCGCTTATTTTTGTACACGTTTGGGCGTAATCATATGCTCATACTTTTTTCCGTCAATTATGTTCTACACATGTTTTCTTTTAAAATAAATTTAAAAATTCTTCTTATAAATAAATTTTTCGTTATTAGGTAAATAATAAAGGAGTTGTTCTTTTAGAGTGTAATTTGAGTGTGGTTTTTGAGTTGAATTTGAGTTATAAGCTGAAGTTAAAATTTGAATAAAGTTGAATAAAATTAAATAAAATTAAAACTTAAAAGAACGTGAATTTAAATAAAATTAAAACTTGAGTTGTTTTTTTTGAATTTTTTTAGACAAAATAACATGCCAAAAGTCTTCATTATATCCGACACAAAAATAGTTGCGGAGAGCACCTTACAAGACTAGAATATATAGATGAGCGGCAAAGCAGCGCCTACGACATATAACTGCAACCGCCAAAGACCAGAACAGAACCAGTTGGAGGCGCCACTCTCTCTCTCTCTCTTCCAGAGAAAATGCGAAGCACGAAGGAGACGACGCGTGAGAAAAATCCATCACCAGGTAACTTCAACTCGTTTCTCTTCTCCACATGCCAAACTTCAATTTCCCCCTGCTTTATTGTTTCCTTTAGTGGATTCTGTTTGTTTCCCGCGAAAAAGAGAAGAATAGGGAAAGAAGAAATGCAAATCTTGCGTTCAATGTGGAATTCTGAAGAGGGCTATAGGATTTTCATCTTGTTATTCGTGTCCGTTGTTATGAGACAAAACTACTTTTTTTTAAGCAAATGAAGCGTTAATTTGAAATTCTATGATGGTGGAGTTTATTTGATAGTGAATGAGTTAGGGCTAGGCAACTGGAGGGATATAAAAATTTGGGAAAATTAGGTGGATGGCCAGTTTTGATCATCCTTTTTTTAATTAATGGCCGAACTTTTTTCTCAAGGTAAATGGTCTTTTTTTTCCAGTGGTTAATCAATGAGATTCCGATGGTTATCACTAAAATGAACTGGTTTATCATTGATAATGGTTTATGACTGATAAACCGGTAACTTACTGATTTTAATTGTGTAGTCACTAATTGATATTGGTAATCATTTATAAACCGCAAATCAATACATCATTGATTAACCCTTTTCTAAAAAAAGTCATTTTCCTAATTTAATAAAATTTGGGTCATTTACTTTAAAAACGACCATTTATTTTGAAATCCCTATAAATTTTAGAAGACTGTGGGGGTTTAGTGTTTTTTTTTTTCTCTTCTTCTGGTAGTTAGTGCCTTTTGTTTCTAAGTTAATTTCAAATTTAGTTGCTTATAAACCAACTTGGGGAATAAGGATAAGTTACAAAGTTTTAACACAAAGCAGAGGATACACTTTTTTATTTTTTTTTATTTTTTTTTAGCTTGCCATTGATTTGTAGTTGATAGCTAAATACATGTTCATTATTTCAGGAGCGCTTTCTGAGAAGTCCCGGGAGTCTGTTGGCAAACTTCTTACACGTCCCAATAAGCCTAGGTCTCGCGGAACAAAGAATAATGATAATAATATTCAGCAATATGATTTAAGTAGCGAGGTTTGTCCTGATTATCTGTTTGTGTTTCTTACCCTTTTGAAATCATAGACAGACATATCTAAAGTAGGGGCATGACTCGTTTTTATGAATTATCTTTGGTCTAGGGCATTACGAGGTGTTTTATCTTATTATCATTATTATTTTTGTCAAGTGTTTTAATTCTTTCCATTTGGTCGGTATTTTTTCAGGTTGGGAATGGGTCAAAAGTAAATGGCATACAAGATGTAGATTCGAGGGTGAAATCAGTAACTTTGGAGGCTGGAGGTTGTAGTACAGATGCCGCGAGAGACACTTTGAGGGAAGAGAAAGTTGATGGGGGAACTCTGCAGGACCCTCTCTCCGACAGCAGGGAAGAGATGAATGATTCGGATTGGGAAGATGGATCAATTCCCAATTCAGATTTTACTGGTAATCAGCAAGTAACAATTGAGTTTGATGAGACGCCTGATCCTGTGAAGCGGAAACCAGTTCACCAAGCTACTGCAGAAGATAAGGTTAGAATGCATGTATCTTGAATTATTGTTTAAGGTAGCATTGTTGTTAGATAGTTTTTTTTTTTTTTTTTTTTCATCTTATTGAAATTCTAAAAATTTGCAGGAACTGGCTGAAATTGTTCATAAGGTTCATTTACTTTGCTTACTTGGACGGGGAAGATTAATTGATAGAGCTTGTGATGATCCTCTTACACAGGTTGTTTATTCAATTTATTGTAAATTATATATGAATTCTAATTTTCAATATGATAACTGTCGAATCTTTTTTCGCTGAGCTATGATAATTTGTTATGACACATCCTTCGTAGAATTCAAAAAATCTGTTGAATGGCACTTCACTAGCTTGTTACTATTATCTTAGCATGTGTATAACTTGAGGACGATTGTTCGGTAGTTAAAATGTTAACATTGACCGCTCCGAGTTTCTTTCCTTTCCATCTTTATTGGAGAGTGCATTTTTTTGCTTCCTTGGTTATCATCTATCTCCTTCGTTGTAGCTTCCCCTCAGAAATTTTTAGTTATTTCTTTGTTTTCCGTTCTGGTCAAAAAATGGATGGCAATGAAAAGTGTCTCTACAACATTTTAGCCATGCCTTTTTCATTTTTTATTTTTTGACGAGATTGTTGACATGCAGGCTGCTTTACTTTCTCTTCTTCCAAGGCACTTGCTAAATATTTCACAGATGACTAAACTAACAGCAAAAAATTTGCATCCTCTTATCCATTGGGTATGTCTCTATTATTTTTTGCTTCAGATTCTTACATTGGATGAGTGTGGATGTGGTTTTATGACTCGATGCTTCTTTGTCTCTTTGATCTCTTCACATAAAATTTGCAGTTTCAAGATAACTTTCATGTTAGAAGTTCAACTGATGAGAAAAGATCGATTCATTCCAATTTGGCCTTTGCACTCGAAACTCATGAAGGGACTTCAGAAGAGGTAGCCTTTGGTATCATTTTAATTATCTTCTTAGACTTCTTATCAAAAAAAAAATTGTTCTGAGATTGTTTTAATACAATAGATAATTCAGTTGAATGAATAATTTCATATATCTCAAGAGTATAAATACAAGATACATGTGCCTATTCTAGGATAGTCAACAATATAATCTGTACAATCAATTACAATCAATTCAAATAAATCAGACCACTACTCCTAGCTAATAAAGGAAACATTATCATGCAGAATATTTGCTGAATTTACGCCAACTTTCCCCCTTAAGTTAGTGCATAGATATCACACATGCCCAACTTGGATAATGAAGCATAAAATGGACCACTAGCAACAGCATAGGTCTTATGTCTGCCAACTGATCTACACTCTTGATGTAGGGAATCTTTATTTGGCCAAAATCTAGGTTATCCTTGATGTAGTTGACGTTGAGCTCAATATGCTTAGTTCTATCATGTTGTATTGGATTGTTTGCAATCTCAATAGCCGCCTTGTTATCACAAAAGAGCACCATAGGCTTCTTAGGACCAAATCCAAGTTCACTTAAGAGAGGTGGTTGCATGATGAAGAGCATGGTATTCTGCTTTTGCGCAACTCAATGAGACCACATTTTGTTTCTTGTTTCTTCATCACCAAATTTTCTCCTACAAATGACACATACCCTGATGTGGACTTCCTATCCAATTTGGATCCAGCAATATCGGAGTCTATGTATCCCTCAATCTCTAGATGTATGTGCCTGGAGAACATAATTTCTTTGCTTGGAGAAGACTTGAGATAGGCCAGGATACGATTTACTGCATTCATGTGCTGATTACTCGGATTATGCATGAATAGACTCACAACACTAACTGCATAAGAGATCTAGTGTGGGTTAGATAGATCAACTTCCCCACTAGTATTTGATATCTTTCCTTATTTATTGGAATCTGATCACAGGAGCAATGGTTTCTTGGTATTCATTTCCATAAGTCTGGGTGTATCCCTTGGCGACCAACCTAGTTTTGTACCTATCAATTGTCCCATTTTACTTGTACTTCACTGAAAACACCCACTTGCATCCTATTGTTTTCTTTCCTTGAGGAAGCTCAACCATCACCCAAGTAGAGTTCTTTTGGAGAGCCTTCATTTCTTCTACCATAGCAGAGTTCCACTTAGCATCTTCAATGGCTTCTTGAAAATGACTAGGAATAGACACAGAAGACAACTGAAGTGCAGAAGCAAGATGAGTCTTAGATAGATGGTGGTAAGAGACAAAATCAGAAATAAGATATACATTGGAGGATGATTTTAAGAAGCCCAACTTGTCCAGTTCCTTGCGATTACGAATGGAACGTCTCCTACCTTGATCAACTTAAGGATTTAAGGTAGCAATTTTAGAAGGTAAGAGTGAAGAAATTTGTACATCAGAATTAGTCCCGGAAGAGTCATCCGATGGCATGGTAGTATCATTGAGAGGAATGTTGAAGTCTGGAGGGGTTATGATAGTGGCAATTTTGTTCTTCCTTGTATAACGTTGTTGAAAAAGCATGTATGGTCTTTCCCTCCTTTCCTCAGGTTCAAAGTTAGCCTTACCCGAGTCAGTCGAATCAGTTGAGTCCTCCCCCTTACCTGAAATCCACCACTTCTTTTCTTCTAACCATAATTTTTCCTCTTCCTTACTATTAATCTCCCCCTAAAGAAGAATTATAGACACATTCCCAAGAAAAATAAGACTCACGCGCACAGAATTGAACATCCATGGAAACATAGTACTTTCCCGAAGGAGGATGGAAACATTTATAGCCCATTTCGGAACTAGAGTAACCAAGAAAGACACATTTAAAAGCACGAGGATCAAGTTTGTCCCTTTGATGAGAATGTGTATGAACATAACATACACAACCAAAAACTTTACGACTGATTCAAAGCAAAAGGAATAGAGTGAAACTGTGATAACAATCGCAAAGGTGTTTGATAGTCAATAACACTTGCAGGCATTCGGTTAATGAGAAAGACAGCGGTCATGAGCATTAGCCCAGTTTCATTTTGGAACACGTATAGTAAAGCATAAAGCCCGAACCACTTCTAGAATGTGGTGGTTTTTACGCTCTGCTATACCTTTCTGTTGTATGTACACGTTGTTTGGTGGAGGATTCCATTTTCTTTGAATAAATCAGCAAGAGACTAATTTACAAACTCACGACCATTGATAGCATGAAAAACCTTAACCTGAGCATTAAATTGTGTGACAACTATCTTTGAAAGTTGAGGAATAACATGCAAAACACTATGCTTTGATTTCAGCAAATATGCTCAACTCACTCTAGTATAGTCATCAATAAAAGACACAAAATATTTATGACCCGAAGCAAAAGGAGTAGAAAAATGACCCCAAACGTCTGTAAAAACACAGACAAAAGGAGCTGGACTTTTATTAAGACTTATTTTGAAAGTTACTGGATGATTTTTAGTATCAATGCATTGTTCACATCGTAAACTAGAAACTGAAACATTTTGAAATAACTGAGAAAATAAACCTTCTAAATAAGGAAAAGATGGGTGACCCAATCGACAATGCCATAACAAAAAAATTTTCTCTGTCAAACATCTCCCTTGTGACTTGAAAAGTGTGTTGTAATTCCCTTGCCCCCTCCAAATAGTAGAGACCTCTCTCCTTACCAATGCCAATCGTCATCTTCATAAGATTGTCCTAAAACACAGTGTTTAGAATGAAAGGTTAAAATATAATTAAGGTCTTTAGTAATCTTGCTAATGGAAAGGAGATTATTAGAGAGGCTAGGTGCAAGGAGGACAGAAGACATGGGAAGTGAGGAGGAGAATGAGACATCCCTGGCCCCTGAGATGGGCATAGGAGTCCCATTGGCAACTTGAGCAGGCTTAACATTGGAGGACATTAGAGAATCAAAAAAGGAATTACTAGTCATATGATTAGTGGCCCCTGAATCAATAACCCAAGTGTTACAGGTAGCAGAAATAAGGCACAAACCATAATTACCTTCTTGAGTAGAGGTGTGAGAAACCAGAGAAGCAGAAGTAGAAGAATGAGTGTCAGCCACAGAAACTTGACCCGATTTCTTGTTTTTCCATTCGGCTTGCGTCAGTTTGAACCACTCTAGATAACTATGCTTCTTCTAGCATACATCATATGTGTGTTTGGTGCCATTGTAGTGTGCAAAACCGAGTGGGAGTGTTGACAACATGAGTTGGCTTTGGAATACTCTTATGGACAGCCATGGCCGAAGCCTCAGACTGGTCTTATGCACCCATGGTGGCTTGCCTCTGCGCTTCTCGACGGACCTTTGAATAAGCTTCCTCTAGGCCTGGTAAAGGAGAAGTGACCAATACTCCACCACTAACCTGATCCAAATTATGATCGAGACCTGCAAGAAATATATAAACCCGTTCCTCAGCAGTAAGCCTTCTCAGTTTCTCAATATCAGTGGAACACGTCATATCATTAGGCCTTCATATCATTAGGCCTTCAATAATCAAGGTCCAAGAATATGGAGTTTAATTCATTGTAGTATTATGAAAGAGGACGGTAGCTTTACGTGATTGGAAAGATTTCTTCATTAGTTCATAGACTTGAGAAGAATCCGAGACATCAAGATAGCTCCTCGTGCATTCCAAACCTGTTTGGCCATTCCACACGGCACAAAGTGAGACATCAGTTTATCTGTCACGGAATTAATGAGCCAAGACTTAACTAGAGCGTCTTCGGCCTCCCATTCATCAAAATGGGGTCATCCTCTACATGTGCAACCTTCTTCCCTGTGATGTAGCCCTTCTTTTTTCTGCCAGCAATATGCATCTCCAGAACCTGAGACCAAACACGATAATTTCCACCATTCAACTTAATAGAAATTGTTGGAGAGGAAGTTTCATGGATGGTCACTGTGGATTGCTTCTTGCTATCAGTTTTCTCAGCATGGCATGGAAACAAGAGAGGAAGGATGAAAGGATTGGCATTTTAGGGTTTCAGTCGAGAAAGGAAAAGGTAGCAACGGATATTCTTGCCTACGCTCTGATACCAAATTGATAATTCGGCTGAATGAATAATTTCATATATCCCAAGGGTATAAATACAAGATGCATGTGCCTATTCTAGGGTAGTCAACTATATAATCTGTACAATCATTTACAATCAATCAAAATAAATCAGACAACTAATCCTAACTAATAAAGGAAACATTATCATACATAATATTTGCTGACTCATACGCCAACTAATACATGTGGATGTAATATTATTCTCCTATGCATGTGCTAATCAATTTTGTTAAGATATAAAGTATAAGTACAGAAAAAGTATCAAATAGTTTGTTCACTCTAATGGGCTAAGAAATACAGAATTTCAAAAAAACAAAAAACAAAAAATGCTTGATTTGCAAAATTTTTAAAATAAATTGACAGACAACTCCCTTTATCTTGCTTTGTCTTTTCCTTACAATTTACACCTTTTAGAAAATCAAATTGCAGTTAAGATCATATAAATATGGGTTTTATCCCAAAGGAGTCAAACTGATATGCATGTATTTACCCGAGAGCTTCATTTTTCTTGCAGATTGCTGCATTGTCTGTGGCATTATTTAGAGCTTTGGGTCTTATAACCCGGTAAGTGAATAATGCATCAAAACCGAAAATACTTAACGAGATATATGTTTTTTGATACGTAGTGATTTTCTCTGTATTTTCTTCTGCATGTATGGTTTCGGGGAGAAAATAGAAAGTCGTTCTTTCTGAACCTGTTTGCGTGTGAGGCTTTAGGCTTGTGACATGATGCATGCTTGTTTCTCTTCTTCACATAAAAGCTTCAGAATATAAAATGCAGATTCTTTGAGATTCTTAGGGAGATAACTTTTTTATTGGCTTCTCAAATGATTTGTTAATGGCTCGAAGATATTATTTAATCACACCCCTGTTTAAGTATCACCCATTTAAGCATATGCTACTTGTATCTGTAGTACTGATATTATAGTAGCTAATCCCTCAATTTCATTCTTCATGGACTGATTTCAGCATGATTTATGTCCCATTATTCTTATTGAGTATTCCTAATCCCCTTCCCTTTGTTTTTGATTTATTTATCACTAAAGGAATTTTTCTTATATATCTCTAAGATATGACATGGGGAAATTCCTTAGCCCTGGGGTTTCGACCTTATATGCAGTGGTAAAGACAGTGCATTGAAAATGCTATTACGAGGTGGAATGACAATGTCCTTGTTTTCTCTTCCCATTAGTGTCGTTTTGTTTGTATTTTATTACTTTAGTTGTAATTACGCAGCATCACTTTGATTTGATGTAATTACGCAGCATCACTTTGATTTGATCACTTAGAAGGGAAGAAACCATAAATGATAGATAGCCAACCTATACTTGCTCGCCATCTGGGTGAGGTAGTAGAGTCCCACGTCTTTGAAGTGGGTCTGTAAGGAGTGACTCTAGAAAATTATGCAACTTTCTTTTGTGGATACTGGATATTCTATCTGGCCAAAAAATCACTGCCAAAATTTTCCATGCCACTTTCACTATCCATTTCTATCACAATTTTGGCAGCCAACACTGAGGAAGTGGAACCAATTAAGACTGCTAGTTTTTTTTTTTTTTTTCCTAGATTTCCTTGGCCGTGTTTGTTTTTTTTTTTTTTTTCCTAGTTTTCCTTGGCCGTAAATAACTCCCCATTACAACTTTATCCAGTATCCACAACCACTTTTTGCAAATCCCTGCTAGTTTTACTTATGGCTTGTTCGGTAATCTATAATGAGAATGAGAAGGAACCGGAATGACAAGGAATAAAAAGTGATGACATTTAAGTGTTTCAATAAATTTTCTGGTTCTAAATGAGAATGGAATGATTCCCATTGAAGTACTTGTTGAAGTTAGGAATCTAAAATCTAAATCGGAAGTACTTTATTACTGGAATGCTCTCATGTAAAATGCCAATACTTGTAGCAATGCTTCCATTTCGAAGCTATGTATCTTACCAGGTGCTTGGCAAGTTCAATGTATCAGGTTCAAGAGCTTTTCAACTGGCTTAAGTGTGTGTGTGTGTGTGTGTGTGTGTGAACTTCAGTATCGTTGGACTGATCAAATATTAATTCAGTCATTCATGCATAATTCTCAACTTTTCAATTATTCCTTTTACAATAGGACCATAGATCTCTATTTGTGTTCATTTCCTTCTTTTCACTACCAAATCATATGTTTCATTTATCTCTACTGTTGCTTCAAGTACATTTTCATTTCTTTGCAACAGCCAAATGAATTTAATATAAATGTTTGTGTGGTGCTTGTGCTTGTTTGTGTGGTGCTTGTGCTTGTTTGTGTATGTCTTCAGTGTGTTCTCATTTGCATTATGCGACTTCTGTTGTTGCTTCTTTAGGATTATAAATAAATAGTGGTAATAGTGGCAGCATAACGATGGCATTGGTTTTTTATTCTACTTATAGTAAACTACGACTCTGATGCTAAAGAGGATGTGTACAGCTCTATATTTTCTACTAAAGATATACCTTGGATTCAGGTTTGTGTCAATTTTGGATGTGGCCTCCTTAAAACCAGATGGAGACAAGTCTGCTTATTTCAGTCAAGATGCGGGCGGTTTCATATTTTGTACTTCAACCCCAATGGTGGCTAAAAAAAATGAGGCTTCTAGCTCTCCCAGTAAATCATTTTCACCCAATGAAAAAGACAGTGCTTGTGAAACTTCTCATAGGAGTTCATGCAAAAGAAGCAACGCTGAAAGCAAAGATTCTGCCTCTGCTAATGAGTCGAGCAATAAACAACCATGTCCATTAGTTTTTGAGTTGAAGCATGATTCTTCTGGGGCATGCCATACACAAATATCTCAAGGACCAAAGAGAAAAGGGGATATTGAGTTCTCGTTGCAGATGGAAATGGCTATTTCTGCAACAGCAGCAGTAATTGCTAATATTGCGGATGGTAAAATGGGGTCTAGTATGGGCAATCCAAATAGTAATTTGCCAAATTTTATTTCACCTTTTAAGAGAATGAAAAAAGTTTTAAGTGAAGGCTCTTCATCCTCTCATGGAATCTCCACTGCAATTGGATCAAGAAGAGTAGGGTCTCCCCTATATTGGGCAGAAGTATACTGCAGCGGTGAGAACTTGACAGGAAAGTGGGTGCATGTTGATGCTGTTAATGCTATTATTGATGAAGAAGAGAAGGTTGAAGCACTAGCTGCTGCATGCAAAAGATCTTTGAGATATGTAGTTGCATTTGCAGGGAATGGTGCTAAAGACGTGACTAGAAGGTTTTTCTTTTCCCTAATTTTCTCCCCCTTCCAATTTTACCATGCATTCCTTGTCATTAAATTGAACCTTGATGCTTTTGACATGCTTTCAGCTTCCTGTGTTCAGATTATATCTGCTGGCTGTAATATTTTAGTATGATGTTGGATACAAAAATTATTTTAGCTTCCTTTTTGAAATATGTGATTTGAACTGTATGCCTGCACTCTGATGATATTGTACTCCAAAAATTGTTTTCTTATCCTTTTGTCCCTCTGAGCACGTGTTGTGTCGATAAGCTCGTATTAATATTTCAACAAGCTGCAATTTACTTTTTAGAGGTTGCAAAATTTTCCATATCCTAATTTAATACTATTATGGGGAGGTAGTAGTTGATTTAGTTGGTGTGGTTTTTTTCTGGGTCAGGGAGTTTATGGAAAGGAGAGAACCACAACTTTTTGCGTAGCCCAAGATGAAAATTTGATGCTAATATTCTGAATGTTTCAGGTATTGTATGAAGTGGTATAAGATAGCCTCAAAGCGAGTTAACTCAATTTGGTGGGATTCAGTTTTGGCACCATTGAAAGAGATTGAATCAAGAGCAACTAATGGAATGTTTCACTTGGAAAATGACAACATTGATGCCTCATTTAAACATGATAATCCAAAACATATCGCAGAAAATTTGAAAGCAGAAAACTTTCCAAACAATGCCACCTTGCTTGGGAGCTCTGGCCTTGAAGTATCAAAAGTTTGTGGTGTGAAGACTGACATGGGATCTTCTTTGACGGCAGCTTCTAGGAGCTCTCTTGAGGATATGGAGTTGGAAACTAGGGCTTTAACCGAGCCACTTCCAACAAATCAACAGGTGTTGTGAACTAATATGGTTATTTTACCATGGTAGCGAAGCTGTTAAGCCTCAACTTATCTATCATTTAACTTCTCTTTCGAATGCAGGCCTATAGAACCCACCAACTGTATGCCATTGAAAAGTGGCTAAACAAGTATCAGATACTCCATCCGAGGGGTCCCATTCTTGGTTTTTGTGCAGGTCATGCCGTTTATCCTCGGACATGTGTGCAAACACTCAAAACAAAAGAAAGATGGCTGCGGGAGGGCTTGCAAGTTAAAGCTAGTGAGCTCCCTGTAAAGGTCTGGTTTGCCTTATTAGCATCTTTATTACTATTTGATTCATTAAATTAAAATGCATTTATGAGCTCTTTATCATTGTTCACATGCTTTGGTTTTTCCCCTCACCATTTGTTTATACAGGAATTGAAACGCTCTGGGAAGCTTCAGAAATTAAAATCCTTCGAGGATGATGAATCTGTTGGAGATAATTCTGAAGGAACTCTCAAACTTTATGGGAAGTGGCAACTGGAGCCATTACAGCTACCTCATGCTGTAAATGGAATAGTTCCAAAGGTGCTTTTGTCTGCCCAGAGTGCAAATAGTTTGAAAAATAGCAGCTACAAGTTTCTCTTATTAGTTTGAAAACTACCAATTACAAGTTTCTCTTTTTTTCTCCATATCTAATGAGCATGTAAACTTAATCCCGCTAGCCTTCATGAATGAGTATTATAATATATTTTCACTTCCAATGCCACTTCTAGTTATCTGCTATTTAGCGCGTGTTCCAGCTTTTTTTATCACTTGATCAATATTTTGTTTATTAATGAAATCTAATAACTGACATCTTCTTTGGGCAAGCGCGAGTTCTTGCTGGAATTTTACCGCACCTGACCTCTAAATTTTGTTGGTCTCGTAGAATGAGCGTGGACAAGTGGATGTCTGGTCTGAGAAGTGTCTTCCACCAGGAACCGCGCATTTGAGGTTGCCCAGGGTGTTTTCTGTTGCCAAAAGGCTGGAAATTGATTATGCACCTGCCATGGTTGGCTTCGAATACAAAAACGGTCAATCTTATCCCGTCTTTGAAGGTATTGTGGTGTGCGCCGAGTTCAAGGACGTGATATTAGAGGTAAGATCATTGCTAAATTGGGATTGACAGTGTTTTAGAATTCTGAATTTGTATTTGTTTACTCTTTTTTTTTTTTTTTTATTCTGTTAGCTCGTCCTAAAAATATGCAGGGATTGATTGTTTGCCATTTATGGTTGCTCATTTAAAAGTTAAGGGACCTGTAGCGCCATTAACCCTATTCCTTTCTGATACTTAATGCTTATTTCAGATAAATTTCAGTTTGTAAAACTTTTGTCTCTTTTCACCCACAATCATATAATAAAAGATTTTAATTTGCAAAAACATTGTGCGGTAGTCTAGAATGTAATAGCAGTATACTTTTTTATCCAGGCTTATAGAGAAGAACAAGAAAGACGAGAGGCCGAGGAGAAGAAAAGGAATGAAATGCAAGCTATTTCTCGCTGGTATCAGCTTCTTTCATCCATTGTGACTCAGCAAAGGCTAAAGAATCGTTATGGCAAGGGCGTGTTGTCACATACATCCTCTGATGAGCCAACAGTGGATAACAACTTAAGTTTGAAAGTTAGTGGTAGTCAAGATGACAAACAATCTCTTGAATTCCGGAAAGGAAACAAACACAAAAACAAGCCGAATCCTCCCTCTCGTTCTCCATCGGCCGAGCTGGAAGAAGACCACAAACATTTATTTCTGACAGAGGACCAGAGTTTTGACGACGAAACCTTGATACTCACAAAAAGATGCCATTGTGGATTTTCGGTTCAAGTGGAAGAACTATAGTATAAAGAATTGAACCACTGCATAGTGCATTGAATATTTGACATGACAATACTAGGATTATTTATATCCCTTTTTGTAAACAAGGAAAAACAGAGATGAGATTTTGCAGCAAGTATGTCGTGGCTAGCTTCATACATGAGTGTAGAAAAGCTAAAGGGTGTAAAATGCAATGCTTTTCGTCCTACTTTTTGTTCCATAACAATCAAATGTAGTTTTGATTAATGTTCTTTCCTTTCTTCACATCGAGTACGCAATGTCTATCAGGCTTTATATGCCCCAATCTAGAGCTGCAAGTATGACTGGGATAAACTGGTCGGCTTGAGGCCCGCTACTATTGACCTGGGTCTGGCCCGGCGCGGCCTTAAAATTTTTTGGGTTTAGTACCGGGCTGGGCCGACCCTCTCTTTTTTAGGGCCGGCCCGACCTTGCCCAAACATCATATTGTTAAAAAAAAAAATTTAACATACCATATAAAATTTCAGGCCAGCCTTAAACTTTTTGGGTTTAGGGCCGGGTTAGGCTGACATTCTCTCTTTTAGAGCCGGCCCGGCCCAAAATTTCCCTTCGGGGTGCCGAACTCGGACCGAGCGTTTCAAACTTACACCTCTACCTCAATCCAATATATCAAATAAAAAAATAAAAAAACTAACAGACTAACAAACGTTAATGACCAGTAGGTCTGATGACATGAGGTGGGACGGGGTGGAGTGGAGCTTTAAGGTTGGAAAAATGCTAGGATATTTACGAAATCCTAGTAGAATTAGGTTTAAATTTTTTTAAGACCTATGCAAAAGGGAAAAACGAGGCATGTTAATACATATAATGATTCTTAATTAAAACCATACCAAAGATTAAAGGCTTGTTTGGTTATGTTCTCCGTTTTCTATTTTTGAAATTTTTTTTTTTTTTTTGAATCTTGAGAATAAAAATTGTTTTTAGTAATTTACAGAGACTAAAGGTATTTGGTGAGTCTTTTCTTAAAGCAATTTTCAAAGAACCAAAAACAAAAAACAAAAAAAAACAAAAAAAAAAAGTGGAAAGATATTAAGTTTGGGTCGAGCTAGGGCAGCGGTCGAAATTGAAGCTGATGCACAATCATGCCCAAGCTCGAACAGATGTCGATGCTAGTGTAGAGTTGGGGCCGTGCTGAGGCCAGGTTCAGAGTTGGGATCAGAATCAGGGCTGTCACTCTTCATCTCTCCTTCACCATTGAACTCATTGTATTAATTATTTAAGGTTGCTAAACTTATGATGCAAACCACATGGTTTGGAAGTGTTCATTTTGACTTTTGCGGTTGACTCGAGTTGGTACCAAATGGAAGTGGGGAGTTGATGATGCCTTGTTGCAGGTTTCAGAAGCTTTGATTTTTTTTTCCCCCTTTTACTTAGAATGAGTTCAAATTCTCTGCGCAATGGCATATGACAAATTGGATGGAATTTCATAGTTTTCAATTACTTTGATTAAATTACATTATCCAAATTTTGTTTGGTACATATGCCTTTAAACATTTTATGATTGGTGAATTACACATTACTTTAAATTATGGCAAATTACCGTTGTATTTAACAAAGTATTGTAGAGTGATCCAAATGGAAGACAACTATTAAATTTTAGACCCAAATATCATTGTACCTGTTACGTGAGAACATTTAAAGGAATAGACTTAAATTTTGAATGAAAAGTGGAGCATATCATGTCACATATATGTGAGTGTTTCCTTCTAAAGTTTAACATTACTCATCAATTTTGGAGCACTCTAAAATATTTTATTAAATTTAATGAGTAATTTGCCATAAGTAAAAAAGCTTGGACAACAACTTATCAATTCAATCAAAATTCTCGAGTAATAATTGATTTTGTCAAGGCTTAATTCATAATTTAGCCCCAAATAATAGTGGTTGTCCCAAAATGGCATAAAACTCCATTCAACCCACCCTGAGCTTATAATAAATTGCAATTTTAAAACTTTTATCCTCAAATCGCTAATAGTTTAATAGTTTTAATCACATATAGGTCATGTGACTACTTGACAAAAGATAATATATAATAAAGTTAACAAAATAGACTTTGAAATTTCAAGAAAAAAAAAAGCACACAAAAAACAAAACAAAACAAAACAAAAAGAACGAAATACAGTTTCTTCCTCACTAGGGGTGGCAATATGGGTTACGATACGACTCAAAAACGACACGAATTTTATGAGTTAGGGTTGAGAAAAAAGATGTTCGGGTTAAAATTAGGTCGACCTGAAATTGACACGAAAAACACGGGTCAATTTCGGGTTGAATCCGCCTAACCCGAACACGACACGAAACCCGAACACGACACGAAACTCGTAAAAAACTAAAAAATACATATAGTTTTCATTTCATATTTTAAATTTTATTATGAACTTGTGATATCATGATAGTTATACTCAAAATTTTATACTATTATTTATTTAATTTCAATGGATGTTATTGTAATTTAGTGTGTTATGAATTTTAAGTTATTTTTAATATGTAAAAAACTAAATAAAAGTATACAATTTTCGTGTCAATTTCGGGTTCACGGGTCAATTTCGTGTCACGGGTCATTTTCGGGTCGTGTCATGTCAATTCGTAAAGTGGTCGTGTCGTGTTTGTATTGCGGTTTTTAAAAAATTTCGTGTCACGGGTCGTGTTCGGATTTACTATAAATTTAAAAAAAAATGATTAAAACACGACACGAACACAACACGTGACACGAATTGTCACCCCTCCTACCCTAAGTATACTATGCTCGCAACCCCCAACTCCACATAATCTTCCTCCTATATTCCTTTTACCAATTAATTATATGACCGACATATGATTATAACCATTAAAAAAATACATTACATTAATAGAAATATCAAAATTATAATTTATGACATATTCGATGACTAATTTATATTATTTTAAATTATATGAGGCAAAATGAGACAACTACTATTCTTCAAGGGTTATATTTAAATTTACCTTTTGACAACTATCACGTATGTGGGGGGAGCTAAAAAAATATTTTTTGGTGGCATGAAGTAAACTGATGATGTAACGTATTTTTTTTTCTTTTATTTGTATAGCTCTTAGCTCTCTCTTTTACTTTTCTTTAATTTATTTTCATCTTTTATTTTTTCCTTCAAATAAACCAAAGCTACAATCAAGGTTAATATATATATTTTTTTTATGAGTTTATAGAGTAGTGCAGTTAATATTTGCTTTTATTGGGATTTTAAGTTTGAATTATGAGTATAACTAAAAGTCAAAATATAAAGTATAATCTAAACATTTAAAATGTTTGATGAACGAACATATATAAAGTTAAAATTTTAAAAATAATAGAAAATACTTTAAAAATATATATTTAAAATCCTTCTAAGATTCAAGTGGCTTCGCCCCTAATCAGTTCTCTTTATCATTAAATTTCGTTTATTTTACTGATTTAAGTTTAGAATTCGAGTTTTATTACAGTAAAAAGCTCTCAAAAATAGATACATATAACTTTTTTATTAGAATAAATACTCTCATATAAAATCATATCTCAACTTAAATTAAAAATTTAAAAATAATAAAAAATACTTTAAAAAAAAATAAAATCAAAATCAACGAATTAAACGACTAAACCGATGTTATTAACTTAAGTCAAATTACAATAGTTTTATAGCCTTGTCTGCGGTCAGATTGATTAATTTCCATACTATGTTGAGTGAATGAAGTGAGATCTGGACATTGACTCACGAGAATAACTACTTTGAAAAGAAAGTAAGTAATGAAAAAGTCTACTTTTGCGAGTCTGAAATTTGAAGACGACAACATCAGTTAATGCAATACAGAATTCGTACGGCTGACGACAACGCTACACATGAACGAACGGTCAAATACTTTTGCCCCCAAAAAAAAAAAAAAAAAAAAAGACTCAAATTTGCCGTCAGTTTAGTACTATTGTGCTGTAAAAGATAATTGTTGTGAGTAAAAGCATAAAGGTATTTGGTATATATTGTTATAAAATTATTATAATATCATAAGTAAAAATTTAGTCGTTTGATAAATTGTGTATAAAATTATTATGAAAATATATAATGATAAAAATAGACACATATTTATAATTATTTTTATTTTTATTTTTATGGTCAATATTCAAGAAAAATATAATTTTATTAATGAAAATATTTCTTAAAAATAAATTATTATCTTGATAGAAAAAATTATTCATCTACTAAATTTCTTATTTATTGTTATTATTTTAATCATCTTCATAATTATTAAAAATAGTTTTAATAAAATTTAACATAGTATATTTGTTTAAGATTTTCAATTTTTAAATAACTATCTTGAAAATATATGTTTTTCAATTTGGTATGAAAAAAAATCAAAAGGTAGACTGAGTTTAGTAAATTTGAACAATGGCAGCAGAGTTGCTGTGCAAAAGCAACCCCTGACCTACTTCTCAAATTTTGATGTTTGACAACAGTTTTTAGAAGCTGTTAGATAAAAGTAAGATTTGCCAAACACTCTAACCAGCTGTAACTTCTTTAAAAAAGCTAAAAGTAGCCTCTAAAAGCACCGCTAAACGGGCCCTAAGCTATTTTGCTCCATTTGTGGGAACTGTATTTTTACTGTTAGATTTTTCAACGGTCAGATCTGCAGTAAGAGCAATTGTGTTTAGCGCGTTATAAATTTTTAATACGAACATACTCAGATTTAACCATTAAAAAACTAATCTAACAATTAAAAATAATAGTTTTTATTGATGGAGCAAAATAGTATACTCCACCGTAAAGATTCTCATATAAGTGCCCTTAAAATGTGTACAACTTTCATATTACGTCAAGAATTGAGATTGAGAATTTATACCGTTGGAGTATAGATATATAAAGATATATATATCTTCTTCAAGTGTTATCAAGTATATCGATGATATTTTGTAACATTAGTTGCAAAACATTAGTTTTTTTTTCCCCCCGTAATAATGTTTCGTGAGTATCAACTATCAAGATATATACCGATATTTCTACTAATATGTCCGCAAAATATTCAAGGCAGCATATGGATATGAGAGAAAAGACAAACAGGGCAAACAAAAAAAATAATGTCAATTTCTTGTGCCTTCTAATCTTTAATCCAATTTTCAAAACAGGGAGAAACAACTAATCTCATCCTAAAAAAACTACACCGTACAGATCTTCTATCTATTGATTAAATACTTTGAAATGTTATCAAGAATCATCAATGAAAAGAGATCTTTGTCTGTTTGCATTTGGATCGTGATTGTTAATGTACCTTAATTATGGATCTTAGAGTGAAGAAATCAATCTTCTATATCATAGCTGTGACATGTCAATAACTACGCTAAAAATTATACAAATATTATACCTTGGAAGAAAATGGAATGTATTCTTATTGTCTTCAAATCTCCAAGAAGTTCGTTTTGGCGTTAAATTTTAAAATAATAAAGAATGCTGGAATTCAATTATGTGCTTTATATATATATATATATATATATAGTATTGTTATATTGTAACACGAAATATTAAAAACATATATTCATTATATACCTTGATTGGTAAGACCAATCAAGGTATTAACTGAGGCAACTTCTTCCCAGAAGTTTAGAACCTTCTAGTGACATTCTCCTTCAGCATTCCCACAGATGAAGATTCTAGGATTCAATTTTATTATTGTTTTTCTTTCAGTTCATGAAGTTGTTTGCTCTATGGTTCTGCTTACTTTTTGAAGCTTGTGTTTATATATATATATATATATTAATCATATTCAAAAGTCGCATTAATATTCAAGCAGGTATCAATCTAGTTGTGATGCATCAATTCGCCTTGATGCTCGATTGCTAGTTGAACCCTTTCTTAAAAAAAATAATAATATATATATATAGTGAGGATGAGGTGTTAAGGACAATAATACTCCATGTGGTCATAAACTTAATTTGGATATTAGTCACGTTGATCTTTCTCTCCATATATATCAGAACACAAACATCATTTTTACTAATTAAAATTAGTAGGCCATATTGCAAAAGAGTCAGCTACGGGTCAGATCAAAGCGCCGTACTCAATCCAAGTAGCTTTCTCGCAAACAATGGAATGTCAAGCAATAATGCAGTCAGTCACATACCTACCGGTCCATATTACAATTTGGAAAGTAGAATGTGAAACCTTAATAATAGATCTATTTCCAATGAACCCCACTATAAATTGAAGGGAAAAAAAAAGGTAAAAGTTAACTAGAATCCTCACATATTCCATATGTCATGTATTGCCTTTGCATGAATCATAAGAATTAAGAAACACAAAACCCATCATGACGTTTGGTTAATATATTCAAAATCATGATTCAAAATTATTTTTAATTTACGTATTTTTTGTGAGAAAAAATTCTGTAACAAACTACAAACTATAATTCAAATTACGATACGAATCCTTAAACGCACTCTAATAATGGAGACCCCTCTCACAAAACAAACCAATTCTAATTTAGCCTCAGACCCACAAAGGGCCTTTAACAAAAACAGCTTCGTACAACACTATGAAAGTTAGGGAATCACTTTGCAGAATATTTGGTCTAATCAAAGAATGAATTGTACACTAGAAGTTCCCAAAACCAGTCCCTCTAATATACCCAAATTCAGAAAGAAGGAAAAGAAAAAGTTCCAATCAAATGACATCTAAAACTAACTGGTATTATAAAAAGTCGTTTTCCACTGCCAGAAGGAGCATCAAGAGACAAGACTACAATAGAGGCTCATTATTAATTTAGGCATTTGAAATTTAAGCCTCAAACATTGATTGATAAATAAATTAAATGTGCAACAAATTTACGTGAAAGAAACACAAACATCATAGGAGTCCTGAACTAAGAAAAAAAATATCAGCAGTCACATCCTCTAATCATCAGAACTAACAATAATGATAACAAGAAAAAAAAAAAAAAATCCCCAGCAAACGAAAAAACAGCCCTCAAACAGTTACACAAATCAAGAGTCAACAACATAAACACAAGTTGAGCTACACCACTAAATTCTACAAACAAAGTCACAGAGAGATTCACAAGTACTGACAACAGTAAAACGCCTAAGAGAGAAGTAACTCTATTGCTCAACACTGACTTCAGTCAATTGAGTCTTCACCTTAGGAGGCCTTCCCCTCCCCCTAGGCTTCCCGGACGACACCGCTGCCGCTGCCGCTGCACCTGACCCACCAAACCCTCCCGTAGGCTTTGCCATTTTTCTTGGCCGGCCTCTGGGCTTGCCGCTATCCGATGCCAACTTCATTTTCGGGGGCTTAGGTGGAGCATTGGGGTCCTTGGGGGGCCGGCCCCTTGGACGGGCCGGTCCCGAGTAGCTGCTTGGAGACTTTGGTTGCGCATTGGGGTCCTTCGGGGGCCTGCCACGGCCGCGCCTAGGCGGCGCATTGGGGTCGGGCTTCAAGTAGTTGTTTTTCCAGAAAACGAGCTCGCCCGTCTCTTTCATTCTGTTGAGGTGGTGAGAGAGAAGCGCTGAGTGACCCGCAGGTAAGTCACCATAAGTTGATTCAATGTATTTGGAAATTGAGGATTTGTTTGAGCCATTCTGGTCGTTCAATGCCTCAATGGCCCTTAAAATGATCTGCGAAAACGACACAAAACAAAAAACTTTTCCCACCAAAATTTCAACATGGCAAAAACACTCCATAATTCAAACTAACGAAGCTCAATTTCCAGTGGGATTCTTAGTGGTTGAAAAAATGAGGGTTATATAGAAAGGAATTTATTTGGAATGATGAAGAAATCTGAGTTCATTAGTTAATTTATTGTGTTTTCTAACTGGAACGCCGAAAGTGTTGCGAGAAATAACAGAAACAAAAAGGCATAAAACACACAAAGAAAAGAAAATGCATCTTTTCTTGCGTTTCCGATCCCATTAGGGTTTGAAAAAAAAAAAAAAAGGTTCCAACTAAGTACATTTAAGAACTCAAACTTCTAGAGATAATATACGTAATAATTTTTTCCAATATTGTAAATTAAAAAGTGAAATATGCTGAAACTGAGCTAATTACAGCTCAGTTCTGATCAAATCTTAGCCCCCCCCCCCACACACGCACACACACAATTTGTGACCCTCTCAGTCTTTCAGAAAAAAACCCATTTCCTTTCTAATCTTCATTTTTTTTCTCTCTTTCGTTTAATGAAGTACTAAAACTGGAAAAACAAATCAAACAATAACCCACAACTCTAAAATTAATTTTAAAAAAAAAAATCAAACATTCAAAGTTATTTCAATTTCTTTTAAGTTTAAAAATAAAAATAAAACTTGAAAAGAGAGAGAAGATATACCTCGGGATAAGGAGGGAGTGATGGAGGTTTATTAACGTCTCCGGTCGCCATTAAAGTTGCAGAAAGAGAAAGCTGAAGCCTAAAACCAAATCCTCAAAAAAAAAATTAAAAAAAAAATTAAGGCTTTTATATTTATGAGTTAGATTAGAAGAAAAAGAAGGTTTTTTTCTCTTCTCACTTCTCAGTCTGGGAAGTACCCCACAAAAGCCTATTCACCTCCATTGTTCAAATTTCAGACGCAAAACCACTATTTTGATTTGGAATTCGGCCATATAATTTCGCAGCTCGATTTAAAATAAACCAAAACCCAAACACAAAAAGAAAAATACAAAAATAAAAAACAAAAGCTTCTTTCTTTTTATCCACCTTTTTTTCCATTTCTTTTTCGAATAATCGACGGTCAGGATTGATGGAGTTGAAGAAAACGGACGGTGAAGGTTTTGTCCTGCGGGCATCTCGCGGATAGATGACGTGGCAGAAAACAAGATGATAGCCTTTTGGATTAAAATAATTTTGGTGTGGAATTACGGAATCAACCCTGGGAGGAGGGGATTGGTGGGGGGGGGGTTATTATCAGATGGTCCCCTACCCACCAACAAGGAAAATAGGATCGACCAAAATCATATTCTTTAAATGTACGGTCGTAAAATGTCGCAGTTGACCCTGTCGCCTCGTACATGCTCGTCCGCACGTGCTACTTGTTGGGGAACTGGGCCCACAGTCCATTTTACACTGCGGTCTCATTTACTTCTGATCCGTTTATTTTACCGATTCGAGTTTAAAATTTAAGTTTTACTATAATAAAAAGCTCTCGAAAACAGTCACATCTAACTTTTTTGCTATAGTAAAAAGCTCTCACATAAAGTCACATCTCAACTCGAACTAAAAACTCAAATCAACGAACTAAACGGACCCAGATTCACAAATTCGAGTTTTCAATTCAAGCTGAGATGTGACTTTTTTTTAGATTTTTTAGTTATAATAGAAAAAATTAGATATAATATTTTAAAAAAAAAATTAATTGTAAAATCTTAAAATTAAAAATTAAAATCGATGAAATAAACAATGCCTATTATTCTTCTACCCTACACACCAAGATGCTTGTTTTTGAGGTTGACAAACAGGTGAGGGAGTTAATTTAGTACTATGGCATGTTTACTTATCTGTAATCGGAATGGATAGGATTCGGAGTGAACATGAATCAGAGTTAAAATAAGCTGTTTACTTAGGTTTCAGGAATCAGAGTCAGAATCAGTCTCAATTTCATTCATGTGTTTACTTACACTCACAATCGGAATAAATTGTATAAATTTACTTACCTTCCCTTTTAATATATTTTTGTGTGTTGAACTTCAAAAAAAAAAATCGTATATTATGCTAACTATCTTAATATTATGATAACTAATTAGTAATTAGATTTTTTAATCACACTTAATTAATCATCTAAATTATTTTTTCTTAATAAATTTTGAAATAAATTAAAGAAAAAAATATAACGATGAAATAAAATAAGAACACCTCATGACTAAGAATTTTAAGGATGTATCCCTTCTTGAGTTTATCCAGAATGTTATAGAATACACGTAGCAAATCATGCTTCGTTACCAAAATATTAGTGGTGTCATATACTTGATCATCATCTAAGCCATCAATTTTCATCATTTCTTGATACAAGTTGGCTTATAATCTAGCTAGATCATTGTCAGCCGTGAAAAGCACATCAATAAGACCATCTAATTTGTTAGTAGAATTAAAGGTAAAATTGTAATTCACCTTTACTATCAGAATTGAGAGTGCTAATCCGGTGGGGAGTGTGGAGAGTGCTAATCTCATTCTTCAACCCTAAATTGGTATAGGACCCATACATTTTTACTTTCATTCTAAAATTAAAATGGATAAGTAAACATGAGATTGATTCTAATTGTCAATTCTCATTCCTCAAGTAAGCATGCCATTAACGTTTTGTAATTTCAAACATGAAAAATACATTCTTGCTTGCATCGTGAACGTTTATGATGAGTGTTGGATAAAGAATAGGATGGATTGAGATGAATGAACTCCAAACAATATATAAACCATAATGGATTTTGGCAAGTCTCCGTTGTAATAAAAGTTAAGATGATATAAGGTTGGGCGGTTTTAAGAGACGCAGACTGCAATTGAAAACTGTCGCAATTCGTATCAAGACACAACTATTGTTCTTAGTTATAAATTTGTGAAAAACTTTGAACTTCCAAGAGTATAAATAATTTTATTATATTTTTTAAACATAAATAAGCTTATATTTGAGTCCTCTATGTTGGTTGTAATTAAGCGATAACGCAGCGGATTAAATTTTAAAAATTTATACAACCTAGTTAATGAAGCAAAGGCTTAGTTTGGTATTGCTTTTTCCTCCTAAAATCAGCTTATGTTTGTAGCAGAAGCTGATTTTAGTGTTTGGTAAATCTTTTTAAAAGTGATTTTTAAAGAATTTTTTAAGAATTTACAGCCAAAATCAGGAGCAGTCTAAAGACAACTTTAACTTTTAGATTGTGCGGGAATCAACATAGTACAATTAATGAAACTTTTATAATATTTATAATACCCCTAATAAAATTTAAAATTTACAATATTTCCAATCTAAAATTCAGACTCGTAATATAAAATAATATAATATAATATAATAGTAATATTGTAACAAATAATATCATAATTATATTAATAATTCTAATATTAAATATAATAATTAATATAATTAAATATTAATATAATCTTATAATTCTAATATTATTATATATTATAGTGTATTACACACGTTATGGTTATATAATATATTTATTTAATATAATATAATAATGATTATATAATATATTATATTATAATATAGTTAAAATTTTCAATTATATTATAACTGAAATATTAATATTTCTTTTAATTATAATATTATTATATATTATAGTATATTATTATATTCTATATCATAGTTATATAATATATTTAATAATAGTTTTATTGTATTATATTAAATATAATAATAAATATACATTATATTGTAATTATATATATTATATTATAGTGTAATATAATATAGTCATAATTTTTAACTATCCACAATAATTCAACCTCATAATTTACCAAACGCTATTACACTGATTTTGAAATCAGTACAGCTACTATAATTATAGTTGACCAAACACTCAGCTGTTTTTTGTAACAACTGCTTCTTCCTTCAGCACAGTTAAAAGTAATTTTTCCAAAATCTACAGCACTACCAAACTAAACCAAAGTCCACCGAGGTGTTTTTAGAAACCATAAACTCCATCTTGTTCACCAAAGAAGACATGAAGGCACCTTACCCCATCAAAGGCAACCATTGTACTTAGAAGCAAAAATCAGAGGATGTTTGGTAGAGGGATTCGTTTTCTTATTCGAATCATGATTCGTGGTTCACTACAGTATTTTCTCTCACAAAAAATTCATGTAAATCGAAAATAGTTCGAATCACATGGTTTGAATCATTCGACTAAAAGTTATGTTGATTTATGATATAAACACATCTTAAGAGGGTGAGATACTTTATCTCTCTAGCAAACAATTTTTTTTTTTCTCAAATATAAAATCAACACAATGACTTTAATATAACAATAGAAAACCAAAATATCACAATATGATAAGCTCGTTCTGACATACCCACAAACTCATTTAACGTAAAAGTTAGCAAGCAACCTTCATCTCATCCCCTGCCCACTTCCCATAATAGAAAAAGATTGATAAGGCAATAGTTTAAAACAATCGTGTTAAAATATATGACCGTTGTTTAATCTAAATTCGTTAAATGTCCATGACTTAAAATGACGGCCGTCTTCTATTATGCAAGTAAAACTATGTAGAGAGCGCACTTTAGATAAATTTTTTTTTTTTGTGTGTGCAAAAACTGTCACTTTTATCAACGGTTTTAATAAAAAATATCATCAAATATACCACTTTTAATGATGGTTTATGCCAAAACCATGTTAAAGCTCTTAAAATAATTAAAAATATATATTTGTAGCATAAATTTATTTCCTTTCTCAAACAATAATAAATAGTACAAATTCTTTTGCTCATATAATTCATCATCAACTTGAACCATGAAACACATTCACCGTTTACATCAAATCAAAGTTCTTATTCTCCATTTCTGGAGGATGAGATATGTTTTAAGATCAACAGTTTTTTTTTTTTTTTTTTTGGTTAGACCTTTATCTTCATCATTATCTGACCTCTTATATACCTCATTAAGAAAGAAATCGACTCAAATAATTGACCGATAACAATTACTAGTAAACAAGAAGGAAAGGGAACTTCATTATGAAAATTCACTTCTACTTCCGTACCAGGAATGTAGATCAATTTCGTTATATCCTTCAAAGAATCAATGGAAAAAAATAGTGAAGAAGAGAAAAGTAATGTCCATTCTCTTTCTTAATGAAGAAGGGAATGATATGAAAAGACGGATGCTTTGTTAAAGAGGTACAAATAAAGAATGCACAAAGTTAAAAGTAGTAACTTGTAACTTGAAAATGACATATCGGAAGCAAATAAGAAAAACTACAACAAGATTGGATGCTTTAAAATCTTATCAAATAGGTTTACTGTGATAAAAATTTTGCTTCTTTCTGAGGTAAAGCCTATTTGGGGTGGATGGAGCCAGTCCCACTGATTATAAGCCAGTTCCACGGTTTTTGTCAAAACAGTCGTTAAAAAACTCTTATAAATAATCACATTTAACTTTTTTACTACAGTAAAAAACTCTCACATAAAATCAAATATCAATTCGAATTAAAAACTCGAATCAACAAACTAAACGAGCCCTTAATCATTCAATTGCAATTTCAGAGAAAGCATTCATAAGTCTTTGTCATTCTTTTCTTTCTATTCTTTTACCATTTCTTACGAGAAACAATTTATACGAAATGAGAACAATTACAAAACAAGATATAACCATAATAGCATCAAGCATATTTGATACGTAAACTTTTAATTAATTATAAGGAAAGGTTCAAAACTACCGTTTTATAATAATGATATTTCTATTATTAACCTTCTTAATCATAATTGTCCTTTTATTAAAATAATTTAACTTAAAACAACTTTTAAAAGGGCAATAGTGAATAAATAAGGCAATAATGATTTCATCAAAAAAACGAAATGGTTTGACCTAAACAGGGACGAATCATGTGAGCGGTTAATTTAATTAACAATTTTGTCATAAGTGAAACATATTTTATGCACATGTCTTCTAATTAAATTTTTTTTTTAAAAGATAATATGTTACCACTTCAAGAGTCGCTGTCCAACAAGTCTTCTGATGTAGAATCAAGTGCGCAAAATGAGTTGCTTCCAACCGTTATCTAAATTAAAGTTTTATCATTCTCAAATTTTAATCTTAAGCGTTATCTCCTTCTTTATTCATAATCTTTGCATCATATCGCTATCAAATATTATCTTTAAAAACGAGTTAGATAACCAAAAAAAAGTTTTTTTTTTTTTTTTTTTTTTTTTTTTTACAGAATATGACCAGACATATGTTTAAAACTATTAAAAATTTGACATTTTATTGACGAAAATATTAAAGTTGCACTTCCGATAATGTTGAAGGCTAGCTTTGCACCATTTTAAGTTCAAAGGGATAAAGTGAGACGAGCATTATTTTTTAGGGGTTAAATTTGAAATTAATACGAATGAGTTGAAAAAAAAAAAAAAAAAAAAAAAGAAATCCGCGTGAATTGGCCTCCAAAACCCTCGTCTCACAAACGACTGAGTGGTCGGTTTAAAAGAAAAAAGAGGCTGACGCTTCTCTCTCTCTCTGTAATTGAAAACCGCCTTCCTCGAACAAACGACTGAAACCTCTCAGAAAGAAGCCCTAAAATCTTCCCCACTCCACTCCTCCAGTTCTCCTCCTCCGCCGTAGAAGCCCCATATCCATGTCTTTCTCTCTCCTTCCTCTTCATATATAAGAAACCCCCTTACTTTTCTCCATTTTAGTCCATCTCTCTCTCTCATTGTTATTCCCTCTTATCTCAATTCTGTGATTTTCTCAAGGTATTTATCCTCTCTCTCTCTCTCTATTTTCTCTTGCTTCTTTGATTTGGGGCTTTCGTTGACGTTGTTGTTATAATTTGGCATATTTTTCTTCACTGGTGTTGTAGCCTGAAAATTATGTTTTTTCTTGTTGTGATTCGTCTCATAAGTTTGCTCTTTTTTTTTTTTTTGAGATTTGATCACGAATTCTAACGGTTACAGAGATGTGTGCGAGTATGTGTTTTTGTGTGTTCTTTTTTTTTTTTTTGACGCGTGAACTGAACAGGAGGATTAGGGTTTCGATGCGTTTTTGTCTGATCTGATTCTGTCTTCTCTAATTACAAAATTTTACAGATGCGTCTCTTTTTTCGGTTTTTTTTTTCCTTTTTCGTGGTCCTTTTTTCTTTTTTAGGTACTGACGGTGACTAAAATTTTTCCATCTGGGTTTGAATTTGTTAAGAAGCTTGCGATTCCCTTGAATTTTTTTGGATTTTAATGGGTTTTTTTTCTTTAAATAGCTATCTTGCTTAATTAAAGTGAAAAATGCTTATATTATTTTGGAAAGCAGGATGAGTAAATTCTTGGTTGCTAAGGTTATGAGTTTTGTTTCAACTTAGATCCTTGTATGTATTAGTTGCATGAAAGAATTGATACATCGAAACGATGCATAGTGTTGGATTGGTGTCCATAGTGTTTCCATATGATTCGCTAATCACTAGTTTTGATTATGGAGTTACTGATGTTAATGTCTTTTATGTGCAGGCAGGAGGTTTGCTGATTCTTCTTTATTTTCGGAAGTTTTTGACCTCTACTCTTAGTCAATGTCTACTCCTCTGGATATGTCTCTTAATGAGGTGATAAAGAGCAGCAGGGGTAGTGGTAATCGTGATAGAGTTAGAGAAAGGGGTAGGACCCGCCGTGGCCGTGGACCACGTGGGTTCTTTAGTGGTGGAAGAATGACTGGGCCGGTTCGTAGGAACCCTCTCGCTGTGAATGCGCAACCATCTCCTTACACCATTGCCAAGGCAAGCTCGAAACTGTTGATGTTTTATGATATGATATGCATTGAAAAAACCCAAATATTAGAAACTCAAATACGAAGAGGACTGTAATTCTTGGAGAAGCTCAATTTGTGTCATCAGTAAAGCGCTGTCATCTTCCAGTGCATTTGTACCGTTATCTTCGCGATTTATCTGTACTAATGGCTTATTTGGGTTGTTTTTATGAGCACTTTGAGGAGTGGTTATCTGTTCATAAGCTGACGTTTCTTCTTTTCCCAATCTGGACTCTTTTCTGCATTGTTTCATCAGTCCTCCCGCAGAACCAAGAGTTTCCCATGGCGACATGATTTGTTTGAAGATAGTATTAGAGCCGCAGGGATAACAGGCATTGAAATTGGCACAAAATTATATGTTTCCAACTTGGACTATGGAGTGACAAATGAGGACATAAGGGTACAACTTGAGCCTCGTATTTTCGTCTTAAGCGCTTTCTGTACCAAATTTGTTGTAACATTGTCTTGATACGTGACGTGCAACTCAGGAACTGTTCTCTGAGATTGGAGACCTGAAAAGATATGCAGTTCATTATGACAAAACTGGTCGTCCAAGTGTAAGTATTCAGTAGCTGAGTTTTGTTTTTTTTTTTTTTCCCTCCCTGGTCATCATTATGAGTCTTCTACAATTGTGGCCGTAATTGTCTCAAAGCCCTAGAATGTAATTTTGTTCGTCACTACAAGCCATACCTGTCTTAGTTGTCTTTTTTTTTTCACTAGCATATTTTAGAAGGCTTTTTTTTCCCCCTCTTTTGAGAAAAAGAAAATTCTGTTGGTATGTTATGGAGATGAACTGTATCTTTTCATTACATATCTATGGCTATACCTATAACAATTGAAGCATGGATAACTATATTATAGAAGATTAGGTATTTCAGGTGCATGTCAACATGTATTCATTCTGAACATTTGAAGATAAATAGGCACTTTTTAGAACAAAAAAGGTGTCAAGGCACATTCTTGTTTTGCTTTGTTCTCACTTATCTTGAGGAGGTTGGTTTCTAATATGCTTAGCTTAATCTGGGTTATACCTGCTTTCTATTTAGATGGTCCAGCTCACTTTAAGAGCTATAGAGTTATGGCATGGGATTGATATGTTCGTAGGCATAATTAAGAAGTTGTAGATAAGTACATTTTTTTCGTGTTTGTGTTCAATATTATCTGGTTAGATTTAATTGCATATTAGTATCTTTCTTTTTTCGTTTTCTTTTTTTTTTTCACTGCTTTTTTTTTTTCCTGTCAAAGTATTATTATTGTTATTGTTATTGCTTTTGTCTAGCTCTTCTGATTCAAAGTTTGTTTGGTGTTTGGTTGTGTTAGTCTGGTTCGTTCCTTTAATAATCAACTTTCTATTGGGAGAATAATATTGTCCTTTTGTTACAGGGTTCAGCTGAAGTGGTGTATACCAGACGAAGTGATGCATTTGCAGCATTGAAGCGGTACAATAATGTGCTATTGGATGGGAAGCCAATGAAAATCGAGATTGTTGGTGCCAATGGAGAAATGCCTATTTCTGCTCGTGTGAATGTAGCTGGAGTGAATGGAAGGAAGAAGAGGACTGTGGTTATGACGTATGTTCATTTATTTTTTGTTTTTTTACTTATTCATGTTTTATCTTTAATAATTGCTGTAGATTTGATACTTCGTTAGGTTGCAGAATTTTTGGATCTTTGTGTCGGAGTGGTGGCTACTGGAATTTTTTTTTAATTTATTTATCAAGTCAATAATTTAGTGCCCTCTTTACCTGGCTACTATTTTATCTGCAACGTTGGTGGTTTCTCTTATCTCTAAAATGAAACAAAGAGATAGTGTCAATTGAGGAAAAAGCGACATTAATCATCTGAATTAAATGAGGAAGAAATGCCTTCATTCCTAATAGGTATTGCGAAGGTTTCTTGGGGGCTAGTTTTTAGTAATGAGTCCTCTTTTCTTAAAATTTTTGGAGAGACCAACAGTATCATTTGAAATTTTGAATGACATAGGCAGTAAGCTAAGTTCGTCTACATCAGGGTTTGTTGTTTAACACTCGAAGTTGGAACTGTTTGTTTCTGCATCTGTTTATTTTGATCTAATTTATTAGTCACAAAGTGTCGTCTTTACATTATTTCTTGAATAATATGTGCTCATTTGATTGAAATATCAGTCTGTCCCATCTTTTGGTGACTCTTTGGTTCTTTTTTGCATTTTTTCCCCCCCTTGCACCTGAGAGACTATTTTTATTTATATTAAGTTGTGATGCTTCATTATAGGAAAAAAATTGATGCTTTAGGAGTTGCAAGTTAAAGATGTTAGCTATATGTGCATACACATCTTTCTTACACTTGGAAGTTGTGCAGGTCTGGACCTGGACACATTGGTGGCTCTGCGTTGGTTAATCGTGGTTCCGGGTAACTATTTGATTTTATTTTTGAATAGTTTGTAATTTTATAGTTGTTGGCCTGCTTTTCTAGATGTCTCTGAATTACCTTGTACATTTCACATCACGTTTTGGACGGAATAAAATAATAATCCTAATAATAATCTAAAGATTGGAAATATTATTGGGCTGCCTTTGTCTACTGACATTATAGTAGAACTTTTAGGCATCCATGGTAGTAAATAACTGAACGTAGGAACCAGTCTTACTGTTAGCTCCTAGTTACAGGGAAAAAAATGAATCAGATGTTAAATCATGTAGTGATAGCTACGAGTAAAAAAAAAAAAAACACGCAGATTTTGGCTTTTTCTGCGATGACCTATTCTTGGCCGGTGTTTAAAGCTCTATATCAACTCTTAGCTTAGCAATTTTTCTAAGAGATATTCCTTTCTAGATTATTTTTTCAGTTACTTCCCTGTTTCTGTAATGCATTTGATTTTATCAAATTGTTTTTTTTCCCTCTCGATGACTGTTATATCCCTGCATCTGTCATACCTCTAGGACTGTGTAAATTGGGTTCAACATGTGGCATTTTGATTGGATTTTGTAATTTAAAATAAAAGAAGAGAAAAGGGTATCTGTAGCAAACTGGAACAATTGGAATTATTAATCTGTAAGTGAAGGATGAATCTGTTCTTAGATCACAGTAGCCAACTGTGGATTTGCCGCAGGCACCTGACAAGTGAACCATGTAATATGCTTATTGTTTTTGCGTCTAGTTTGGTTTAGGAGCTGAATGTGACCGTGTGTATCTTTCTTTGGTACAAATTTATTTAAGCTCAAAAACAGCTTTGTGTGTCTCTGGTTGAGCTAAGACGTCCAGAAACTTGGTCACGTTAATGAGTCACTTGTGAATTGAAGGGAAACTTTATTGAGTCTGTCATTGTGCTTAGTTGGTATACAAACTTTTGAGCTTAGTTTCACTAGCACACAGGTCTAACTTGCTAAAATCAAAGGGAAACTTGAGTCACTCTTGTGCCTAGTGGGTTTGGCCTCTAAAAAAGTGGCTTCGACTACTGCTGTTTATTTCTGTGGTTGTTGCTTTTAAATTCCAGTAATTGTGATAGCTTTTTGGTGTCTGTTTGGCAGTGCTGCTGGATTTTCCAGTCAGAGGGGTCGTGGTGGACCAAGGAGTGGCCGTGGTCGTGGTGGAGGAAGACGAGGACGTGGACGTGGACGTGGACGTGATCGTGACCGTGGTCGTGGTCGCGGCGACGGCGGTAGCGGCGGCGGCAGTCGTGGAAAGAAACATGTTGAGAAGTCTGCAGATGAGCTTGACAAGGAATTGGATAACTACCATGCGGAGGCAATGCAAACATCCTGAAGTTTTAGGCTGCGAAACTTGTTGCTAGTATGGATCAAATATTTAGATATGATAGCTGTACAAAGTTGCCATTGCTGTTGGTGCATTTGACTCGTGGCTTTCGGTGGTTTTCATTCTAGATAAAAGTAAAAGTTTTTTAGGGGTAAAAATGAAGCTGTTGGGTTATTTTCAAATGATGGTTTGCTCTCGGGCGTTTTTCGGGTGTGTATTATCTTCATGCTTTCATTGTTCTATTCATATTATTTTTATTTAGGTAAAAAGTTTGAGTTAAATGTCTCGTGTATTTGCAATTGCATGATGAGATGGGACTACGCCTTCCTTCCTAAGAACAGCTCAAATATCCCTTGGAATTTATGATTGGGATAAAATCACGAATTGATGGGTATGGGATTGTGACAGAGTGTGCCCTGGAAACTAACCAATGATTTTTCTCTTGTACCTTCTGGTTTATTTATTTATTTTTATTTGTTATTATTTTGTTTAATCAATTCTAGCTCGTGCCCTCGAATTAGGCTGCTGTTTTCTATGCTATGAGATGTTAAATAGATCATACTCAGAAAGAGAATTCAAAATATCAAATGAACCAAGAATGACTCATAAATTTCTTCATCTAATGACTTGGGGCAGTAATGTCCTGCATTTTTTTAGGAGAAATAAAGTACGAAATACCCTCGTTTTATTTACTACAATGATATAGGAGATGTTTATTTTTTATATTCGTCTTTGATTCTGAATCATGATTTATGATTTTTTACAGTGTTTTTTTCTTATAAAAAACACATAAAATGAGAATAATTTGAAATCATAATTGTAAATCTATGAATCAAACGTCTACTAAAATATTTTTCGCGCATAATTTGATTCACTATAGATAGTGACTTGCGCCCAAGGACCCTCCAGCTAAAATTATAGCGTTGTAGAAAGGCACTAGCGAGTCAATCAGCAACACCAGCAAGGAAAATTTTGGAAAGTTGGCTGCCTTAAATGCACCGGATATTTGAATGTGCGAATTGGTGATTGTACAATGGGGGCTCTCAATACTCTTACTGTCTTACATATAGGTTTATAAATTAAATTAAGTTGGATATAAATTTTGATCACTTAGGCTTCGTTCACTTTATCGATTTGAGTTTTCAGTTTTAGATTTTTACAGTAAAAAGCTCTCAGAAAATGTTATATCTATCTTTTTTTGCTATAGTGAAAAGCTCTAAGAAAATGTCACATCTCAACTCAAATTAAAAACTCGAATCCGCGAAGTGAACGAGGTCTTAGAGCCCGTTTAGTTCGCTGATTCGAGTTTTTAATTCGAGTTGAGATGTGATTTTATGTGAGAGCTTTTTACTGTAACAAAAAAGTTAAATGTGATTGTTTGTGAGAGCTTTTTACTATAGCAAAACTCGAATTCTAAACTCGAATCAGCGAAATGAACGGGCCTTAGTTGTCTACTTTACATCTTATAATATACCCTTTTTTTTTTTGAAGTGAAAACTCATAATATACTATTTGAACATTTGACTCCGTTTGTAAGGGATTATAGGTATGTTTGTATTAGATTCTTTTTTTTTTTTTTTTTTGAGAGAAGTCATATTAAGTTTTTATATAAAATCATTTTTAATTAGCAAAAAAATTATAAAATCATTTTTATTTCAAACACCTTCAGATAAATGATAATGTATAGTATTTTTTCTCATAAAAAATATACATAAATTAAAAATAATTTTGAATCATAATTTTAAATCTGTGAACCAAACATTCACTCCATCACTCTCTGCAGCGATATCAACCGGTTCGTGCCCCTGGATCATTTATCTACCATTTTCTTTTTACGTGAGTAAAACAAATAGGATTGATATGGAGCTATTTTTTATATATGGGCGTTATGAACCCATGTTTAGTATATTTATGAAGACCTTTTGAAATACCCATGTGGAAGGATCTTATTTCAACGCCGTCTGATTTTAATCGGATGGCTGAGAATGCATTCCTATCATCCACCCACTCTCGAGTGCAATAGGATTATAGGAGCACCCATCATTGAATTTCCCATTTTGAAGAACATTACGAAATGCCACAAACTTAAAAGGTTAAAAGAAACAACTTTTGCAAAGTACAAGAAGAATTTCAATTTTCATACATCGTTAAGAAGTATATACGCAACAAATGCACACTATAGTTCGCAAATGGATAAGACAAAAAAAAAAAAAAAAGACAAACGAACTGACACTCACAAATGAATATATATCCTGTAATTCTGTTTTTCCTCTATACTGGCGATTTCTCATTATGGGCAACAGAGCCGGGTTTCTGTTATTTTGACAACATCGATACATGATATAATGTACAAATTCTAGCATTTTCAAAATAATGGTTAACAAAAGGCAGGGACGAATTATGAAACACTCATGGGATGTTTGTTTCATATATTCGTCTATAATTCTGAATCCATGAACCAAACGTCTACTCAATTCCTATCTTCAGACTTCAAGCAGGAAAATCATGGAGGAAAATAAAATAAAAATGGACAGGAGATGCTATTGATTTGGAGCATTAGCATCTCTGTTCAGTTGCAGATTTCCAGATCGATTTTTCTTAAAAAGCTTCTCAACTACTTCATCCCAGTTTGTCGTCCCCCGACTTGACTTTGAGGCGCTTTCTTGGGCGTCGTCATTCCGACTATCAGACACTTCTGTGTTTTGCTCATTGAGTGGTTCCTCATCTGTGGCCACAGCGTGAGGTACATTCAAACTGACAGCCCTTTCTAATGCATCTTTGTGCTCCTTTTCAATGGTTTGCAACCTCTCGAGTTTCTGTACTATTGGAGGCGTGGTTACAGTCCCAGCACAACTTTCCTTCATTCTCTGAAGAGCAATTAAATGATTTATCAGTAATTTAAGCTACAGTAGAGAACCAAACACCTAATCAATAACACTGAAAATCTCAAGTAAATTTCTTTCTATTATCCATTTTGTTCCACAGATAGGAAACTAAAAAAACCTCTGTATATCTGTTGGTTTAAAAGGGAACTGAGAGATAACTAATTCTAAAACGAACTATACATACACATACCTAATTCTAAAAGGTCACCATGGTGTGTTTTTATATTTGCATCAGAAACATTAGAATCAATTTGAAATGAGGGACTGGATACCCAGTTACACTTCTTTTCAAGGAGAAATAATGAAGAAAAGATATTACTAGTCGTACATTAACACAAGTAATTTGACTTACTTCTAAAGCCTTCTCCGCTTCCCTTTCTATCCAAATAATTCCATGATCAGATGTGGCGTTGCATGACAAGACAATATGTTCAAATCTCCCATCAACAGGAATGGCAGTTCTGACCTCTGGAGGATATCTCCCACACCTGCATAAAAGCATCCAGAAGTTCAATCACCCAAATAAACTTAATTCTTAATTAGCATCATACCACTTATGTCTTTAAGAGAGAATATTAAAGGAATGCTGTAAACTCTATTCCAAGTCAAATGAATCTAAACAGTTTTTATCTTCAAGCGAGGAAGAACAAAAGAAAATATTTCCAATTTTCTTCTGCTTTTTGCAAATGCTAATTGCTAGATGAGCCACATAATTTGAAACCTTCGTGCATGTTCACAGACTACACGCTCGGACCCTAAAGCAAGCATGACACTCTACTCTCTAGTGTGCTAATGCAAGTATGACGATAAGAAAGAAGCTTGGGATCCTGATAAATCGATTGAACTTCACATCAAGCAACCTCAAATTGGAAATTGGGACTATCATCTATCGGTAGAAATCTCAATCTTATGATTGACAAAACTTGTAAACTTGGAAATTGTACCACAGGAAATAAACGAGCACACATCTATTGATATCGCAATTCCACAGGAAATAACAAAACAATATTGTATCAAACTACTTGTCCTCTTGTAGTTGGATCTCCAAGTTTTTGGAATGCTCCAAATTCCACTTGAGCATTTCTTATTCTTTTTCTTCAATTAGAAAAGTGAATCAGAAGACCAGTACAAGATAATTGATATCGCAAAAGACTTAAGTGCAGCGAATGTTCTGGGGAAAACAGAACCAGTAGATATACTTCATGAGAAAGAGCAACTACCACTTACCAGAGACTAAAATTTTCTCCTAAATAAGTTAAATTTTTTTTTACAACTTGGACAAGGGATAAGTAAATCCTTCTCAACATCACTTCATCTAAGTCTAAGGTCAAATAAACATAACATTAGTAATTGCTAGTTCTTTTAAAACTAGACACTAAGAATGAGAGCATTATTTGAACACACAAGATGACTATGATCTCATGGCCCCATTTGTAAATCACCATATCAGTCCTTTCCTTAATTGGCAAACTTTTAACAGTAACATAACATAAGTCGTGAAAAATTTTCATCTAAAGAAACATATAAAAACATTCATACAAACAAAATAGAAAAGTTCAACGCCTTGCTACCTGCAAAACTTTCGCTCAACAATATGGTACATTCTTCCAGGTGCATAAAGTCTCCTTGGATCTCGAAGTTTTCTACCTTCTGGTATGAAGGTATCCCTCAAACAAACCAAAAATAACAAGCAGGGCAAGCTGTCCAAAGCATCAATGCGCTCCAGTAAATCTAAAAATTATATAGATATTTGCTTAATAAAGCAACCAATTAAAGGCCTGATGCAGTCATTCAGACATCATAGAAGCATACTAACCAAAATATGGACTTGAATATATCTTCTAATGGAGTGGCTGTTCTTGGTAAGAAATCATCCTGTGCAAGAAAAAAAAGATCACTAAACAAGATAGCCAGAGATGATCTCCAAATTTTACTAGCAAAGAAAGAGACTAAAGCATACTCATTTTAGTTCACTTTTTGTTTCACTTTTGCCCTCGAAATTTTACTCATATCGAAGATTAGTTCAAGTAAAAAAATTCTATCCAAATCTCGCACAAAAAACTCTTAGGCCAAAGACCTTTATCTCGAAAAGAAAAGGAAAAAACAAGTTTATTATCTGTTTATCACTTATCAGCTGATACTTCAGTTCATCTTTCTTTCACTTTGACCATCACTAATTAAATCTCAAATAGTAAATTGTCAAAATTGAAAATTGAAAAACAAAACTCAAAAATCGATAAAGTTAATCCAACTGAGAGAATAAAAAATTATCAGTGATTCATTTTCACAGACAAGCAAAGGAGTAAGAATGTTTGTCTCACCTGCAAGACAATGGAGTGTATAACGTCGGCATACTTGACGGCCAAATTGAGCGACATACACCTGGCCGGAGCAATCGTGTAGCAGCGAACCTTACTCCTCGGAATCCCTCCCAACCGGTCTCCATGATTCACCACGATCACCGTGAGAAGCGCGGCGACGCCGGACCCTAACGAGTGTCCGGCGAAAACCATCCGGTAGTCGGAGCCGTGATCGAGCCACAAGCGCTTGAGCGTCTCGGACTCCTCATTGAGGAGCCAAATCGCCGACTTGAGAAGGCCGTGGTGGACGAAGCCGCCGTCGAACATCTGCATCCCGAGGCGGTTGTTGAGGAGGAGCTTGTAATCGCTCTCCTTGGCGAGGTTGAGGCCACGAATGGCGAGGACGATCTCGCGGTGGTCGTGGTCGGTGTAGATGAGGTAAGGAGGGGACTGGCCTAGGGTTTGCTCGTAGGTGACGCGTTTGATGACCCAATCGGGGTTGAGGCGGTAGCCGCCGGCGGGAGGGAACTGAGGATTGCGGAGATCGGGCTCGTAGACGGCGAGGATGAGGCGGCAGATGTGGGGGACGGGCTCAAACTCGTCGGCGGTGGGGCAGGGCCAGGCGGCGCTGTCGTCGGAGCCAACGTATGTGCAGCGCTTCCATGCCCAACGCATGCAGCCGAGGATCACCACGCACTCTACTCCGCATGATACGGACATTGTTGGAGCAGAAGAATCAGCTTGAGGTTGTGGTGTTGGCGGAGGAGTGGGAGGTCGGTCATCTCATGCCACGGCCATGGCCTATGCTTGCAGTGCCAGTGAGGCTTATGCTTTCTCTTTCTAGAGAGAGAGAGAGAGAGAGAGAGAGGGGGGGATTCTAGAGAGAGAGAAGTGTTGTCGTCGCGTTCACGTGGGTGGGGACTGACGCTTGGGGAATATGATTTGGTTTCTCTTTCTTTATTTATTTATTCTCTTTTTATTCTTTAGTTGTTCCGCCAGGCGATAGTTTGGCTTTGGCTTCTGTGTGTATGACGCCACAGCAATTACAGCGCTGTCATCAGCCAAATTTGCGTATTATTCGATAAAATATTAGCACTATTTTAGCAACAAAAAAAAATTGTATTAGTACCATTTTTTTTTTTTTTTTAAAGTTATAAACCACACGTGAGGAGAAGACAAATTGACCATAAATACTTTCAAAAGTAAGTGACACCAACGATTTCAGTGATAATGTCTACGTGGATTTTTGATTCATACATTTAAAATTATAATTTAAAATTATAGTTTAAAATTATTTTTAATTTATGTGTATTTTTTATGAGAAAAAAATATAATAATGAGTCACGAATCATGATTCGACTTATGATATGAATCTTCATATTAAACACTTCATAAATAATTGCTACTGAAAGTAACTTACAGACAAATACACTTAACGTAACGTTTAGTTCATAAATTTAGAATCAATAGTTTATGATTCTAATTTTTAAAATTTAAATTTTTTATAAGAAATGAATGCTGTAAAAATTAAGAATTATAATCTTAAATCAAATTAGAATTTTCTAAACAAACAGAACATTAATATCTATTTATAAAATATACTTACATTATTATTTATAATTTTAATGTTTAAAATTTAAAATTTTTATTAAAAAACATTGTCGTATAATTATAGATTTAAATCTGAATATACAAAACAAGCATGTCCTTAACCACTTTCAGTATATCTCACTCTCTATTAATATGGGACTCATTTTGGTAGCAATTGCATTTTGTTTTAATAAAATAACACATAAAAACAGAAAATTCACGGAGATTATACTAGTTTGGTTCGTGGGCAGCAAGAGTAGTTGTGTCTTATTTTCTCTTTGAAATTACGTGTTTGTTAGTTTTGCTTAAAGTTGAGGTCTTTGATATATTATTATTAGGGAGAAAGAGAAAAATATGTCAAGACTTGAGATGAATTAAAATTAATAGGCTAATAGTTTACATAAATTAATAAATAGGTCAAATTACTGTTTTCGTCCATAACTAGTTTGGTTATGAATCATAACTTAACAAATTATTGTCTATAATTGTCCATAACTTATCTGGCTATGAACCATAACTTGACAAGTTTATCTATAACTTATCTAGTTATAAACCATAACTTGACAAGTTATGACCTATTAATTTCTATAACTAAAAATTAACCTATATACTTTCTTAAGCTTTTTATATTGACCTATTTTTTACTATTTCTCCTATTATTATTGGGTTCTAACCCAAAGGCTGTATATCTGAGATTTACAATGGAACAATATTATTATATTATTATAAAGTATAAACGCAAAGAAGCCAACTAATTCCGACGAAATCAATGATCAAGTCAATAACAAGTAATTAATTAAAAAACCAATTATCATTTATAACGAGTTTTATAAGCATAAAGCACCGTTAATATCTAAACATTTATTTATCTTTTTTTTTTTGATAGTTTTGATCCATAATATTATAAGAATGATGATGAATTACAAAAAAATTCATCAAAGATAATCGTGCATTTATTATGATGACTTGAAGTTTTACTAAATTAATTACATCTAAAAAACAACGTTCTCTTAATTGTTGTTAAAAACCCTTAAGAATTTGAACATTTTACTTTTAATATAGTTATCTCTGCAAGATTTTCAGTTATATATGCGATATAGATGTACATCTTAAAAATCCTCTCTCACCTTAGTGTTAAGGACCAAAAAGCAAGTAATCTCTGAAAAAAATAACATAATAAATAAAATAAAACTAAAAATAAAAGTGTCATAATGTTCATAATTCATGGATTAACCATGCGTTTTTTTTTCATATACAATGAGGTTGAATCCGCAACCCTCACCTAAATCTCATCCCACCCCCTAATGCCACTAGATCATGGAATAAGGTCGGCAATATAAGTCACGATACGACTCGAAAACGACATGAATTTTACGGGTTAGAGTTGAGAAAAAAAAAATGTTCGGGTCAGAATTGGGTCGACCTGAAATTGACACGAAAAATACAGGTCAATTTCAGGTTGGACTCGCCTAACCCGAACACGATACGAAACTCGTAAAAAACTAAAAAAATACATATATTTTTCATTACATATTTTAAATTTTATTATGAACTTGTGATATCATGATAGTTAAACTCAAAATCTTATACTATTATTTGCTTTAATTTCAATGGATGTTATTGTAATTTAGTGTGTTATGAATTTTAAATTATTTCTAATATGTAAAAAACTAAATAAAAGTATACAATTTTCGTGTTAATTTCATATTCACAGGTCAATTTCGTGTCACGGGTCATTTTTAGGTCGTGTCATGTCAACTCGTAAAGTGGTCGTGTCGTGTTCGTGTCGCGGTTTTTAAAAAATTTCGTGTCATGGGTCGTGTTCGGGTTGACTGTAAATTTTTAAAAAACGATCAAAACACGACACGAACACGACACGTGACACGAATTGCCACACTATTAATAAAAAAAGAGTTTTTTTTTTCTTTTTTTTAAATGGAAAATAAAAATAAACTGAGATCTGATTTGTGAGGAAAAAGAGTTCCAAACACTAGCTCTAAACACAGCTGAACCATCAAAAGGAAAGAAAACACATATTCTTCCTCTCAAGTATACACACACACACATATATATATATATATATGTATGTATATCGCTTTCGTTTATTTTTACTTTTTCCAGAATGAATATTCTTACCCAACAACAGAAAACTTTGGAAAATCCTAACCAAAGCAAGAAAAATTTAGAGAATAAAGTTTGATAAAAAGGATAATTGAGAGAAGAAAGAAGAGCAGCTGAACTGCTTTTAAAAGCAAAATCAAATTACAGATAGCAATTAGCTAGGAGAGCTTGCTTACCTTTACGCTTTGCCTGTGATCCAACTTAATTATTATTAATTCACAAGCTTCACCAAATTAATAATCTCCATAACGAGAACCTCGTTGATTATAATATTATTGTCTCTGAACAATGCAGTTTTGTCTGGAAGAGACGTACATATTTATACTATATATTATAGATATATCGACAAGAAGTTGAGATGCTTTGAGTCTGCCATTTTACAGGTTTTTTTTATTTATTTATTTGTAGTCTTTTCATTCCTTAATAATATTCTCCTCTATTTGAAGAAATTTCGTTATAAAAAAAAATGACAAGAAAGAAACCAAATAACGCAAGAAATATTCCCATTTCCAACAACATTCCTTTTTGTTTAATTTTTCTCGTTTGGTGTCTTACTTTCTTTGTAAAGCGCGTATTTTGAAGAATTTAAGAGACGAGGGGAACAAAAACAAAAGTCAGAAAAAAAAAAAACAAACAAATTATGGCAAATGCATGAACGGAATAAAGAAATTTGATGCTGCCAAGGTGCCTTTATTTCTCGCTGTTATTTCCGCCATTCTTTCCCTGCTTTTAACAAGAACACTTATCTTACTTTTCTTTTGGGCTAAATTAATGTTAAAAAAATCCGTTAAATTAATGTTAAAATGGTTTTTTTTTTTCATCGATAGAAAGTTGGATGAACTTTTTAACAATTTGATTTAAGATTACAAATAGTTATGTGTCGAACGTTATAAATTTTTAAAATAGACATTTACAAATCATGTCATTGAAAATTAATCCAATGACTAAAACATTAGATCCTAGCAGAATGAAAATAGAACTGTTTTTAATATAGAAGTTTCCGATTTAAAATTTTAAAATGGCCAAAACTTAGTTTAATGACTCAAATCATATTGCTACAGTATTTTTTTTCAAATAAATTCAAATTTAGTTTTTTTATTACAGTATTTTTTTCTCACGTACATAACTCAAGTCATTACTTGAGTTGTGTAAAACATTAGATCCTAGCAGAATGAAAAAAGAACTGTTTTTAATATTGAAGTTTCCAATTTAAAATTTTAAAATGGCCAAGAATTAGTTATGGCATTGTTCATTTCACGACTCAAATCATAACTCAAGTCATATTATTATTGTATTTTTTTCTCAAATAAATTCAAATTCAATTTTTTTATTGCAGTATTTTTTTTTCACATACATAACTCAAGTCACGACTTGAGTTGTGTAAATAAACGCACTCTATGTGTTTTTATTAAAATGTTCCAAGGATTTTTTTCAAAAAAAAATTGAGGTATCAATTTAAATTTATAAAAAACACAAAGTACTAAAAGCGATTTCACTATAATATATATAGGGTACCAAATTGAAATTATTTCAAGTAAACAAGAGAGACATGAGAAATGGAGAGAAGACTCAACCATATTATTCATCACATGTCATTGTTGTCTATAGACAGAGGTTATAAATAATATGGTTGAGTCTTCATATATATAGGTCCCGAATAGTAAAGTACGAAAAGACAGAATTAAGAGGTTATAAATATAATGGAATACCAGATAGCAATGATACTCAAAATGAATATAATAGAATTTATAAGAGGTGTTAGGAATTTGAACATCTATTTTAATAAATGATTTTACTTATGACATTTTTAGGCCCGTTTAGTTTGTTATTCGAGTTTTTAATTCGAGTTGAGATGTGACTTTATGTGAGAATTTTATTGTAGTAAAAAAGTTAAATGTGACTATTTTTAAGAGTTTTTTACTACAATAAAACTCGAATTTTAAACTTAAATCGGTGTAATGAATGAGACTTTTGTCTATAATTCTTTATTGTTCTAGTGTGCCGACTGCCGAGGGGAAGAGCGAAACTTGGCGCACACGGTGTTGGACAAGACTTTGGATTGCGATGACACTTTAGTGTCATTCTTTAGGGGGCTTTTATAATGTTTAAAAAATAATTTTGTCGTAATTTAATTAATACCACCAGGTATAACATGGTCAAACTTGATATACTGTTAATACGATCTTACTTTTCCAATAATACAATTATTATTAATACGACATACGAACAAACTACGTACAATAAATGGGATTTATAATTAACACATCACAATCAAAAACCACATAAGACACCTAACAAAACTAACCTTACTGACTATGTTGAATCAAACTCTGGTCTTCTTCCATATAGTATAATAATAGTATTAGAGTTGGCCAACTCCTGAACGGACAAACCACTAACCACCAAAAGCAGCTTACAAAATTGCATATGCTCAAAAAAAAAAAAAAAAAAAAAAAAAAAAAAAAAAAAAAAACAAACAAACCCTTTTGAGGCGCTCAAACCACAAAAACCAATTATAATTTATGATTACCTAATATTAACAAACCTGGAGAACTAGGCATGACTGAGAATTCCACGCATGCACTGCCTTAGTATGGAATGGCTATATATAGAGTTGTATCACTAAGTACCAATTAGGGCCTTAACAAAAGTGCAAGTGTGAGAGTGAAAAAAAAAATGACGGGAATCATATTGAAGCCTCTGCTAGTACTCCTCCTCACCACCTTCATGATCTTTACAACCACGGTAGACATGGCTTCGGCGGCGGCGCTCGTCACATTCGTGTTCGGCGATTCGTTGACGGAAGTCGGAAACAACAACTATCTTCAGTACTCCCTCGCGAAGTCGAATTTTCCTTGGTATGGAGTTGATTATCCTGGAAGCCAAGCTACCGGGAGGTTCACTAATGGCAGAACTATTGGTGATATAATATGTACGCAACTTTTCAATATGAGCGTTTTGTTTTCTTTAAGCAATTTTCATAGAAAATGAGTTAGTATTTATGATATGATTACATGAACACTCATACAATGATCTTTATCACTATAAAAGGAACCTTAAACTTATCACAGAAAGATTACACGTAAACACACAAACTCACATATTAGTCGCAAATTTATAACTTAAAACAAGTTTGTCACTAAAATTGATCTTTAATCACACAAAAATGTTGTGAATAAGAGTTGTTGTTTTTTTGTAGTGACATACACAAATTACATAAATATATTGTTTACAATTACATAACCACATATACACTTTAGTAATACTAACATTTACGTAATTTAATTGCAGCTGAAAAGCTTGGGGTTTCATCACCACCGGCATATCTTTCCTTATCACCGAATAATGATGCAATCCTAAAGGGAGTTAATTATGCGTCTGGCGGAGCGGGAATACTTAATGACACAGGATTATACTTTGTAACTTGATTAGTGTCATTATCTTAAAATTTGTTTTCTGAAAACCTTGTGAAATGCAAGCGACAAAAATTTTAACTTGTTTGCAGTTGTTTTATAATAACAGATTCAGAGAATGACCTTTGATGATCAAATACAAAATTTCAACAAAACAAGAGAAGCTATTAAGTCTAAAATCGGAGTGGCCGCTGCCTCAAAGCTTTGCAAAGAAGCGATGTACTTTATTGGAATTGGTAGTGTTCTCCTTTGAACTCTGTGTGTGTATTAAGGAGGATTTGAAACATTCTAAAGCCAGAAAACTTTAATTTCTTCTGATCTTTAAGGTTCAAAAAGAAAAAAAAAAAAAAGCGTTCATCTTATGTGTTTTTTTTTTTTTTTTGCCCCCTTATTAGGTAGCAATGACTACGTAAACAATTATTTACAACCTTTTCTAGCAGACAGTCAGCAGTATACACATGACGAATTCGTGGAGCTCTTAATTTCAACCTTGGATCAACAACTTTGGGTACAATTTTTGTTACATAGTTTATAGTACTTTAATGACATGTTTACTTATTAAGATTGAAGAATGAGAGTAGGGAGTATGAGTCAATCTCATGTTTACTTATTCTTTTTAATTCTCGAATGAGAATAGAATTGATGAGTCCCACTCAAATTTGGGATAGGTACTCTCATGCCCCCTTAGAAGTTAGGACTTGGACTCCCATTCTTATTATGAATATTAAATTATTATCATACTCCTATTTTACTTATAAATATAAAATTCAAAAAATAATAATTACAATTGGTATTTATTATTTTATTTGTCTAATATTATAATATTAGCTTGATTATCGTTAACTTTAATATAATAAATATGTACTTTATTTTGTTTAATAAATTAATAATATATTTTAATTTTTAACACTATTTTTTATTTTTAATTATTTTATTTAAAATTTGACAATTTTTTTTTATATTTTGGCTAATTGTATAATTTATATTTATTGTTATATCACCCTATTATTATACTAAATATTTTATTTTAAATTTGACAATTTATTTTTATATTTTGAATAATTGTATAATTTATATTTATTATTATATTACCTTATTATTATATTTTAAATATTTTAATCATGATTAATTTTAATATAATAAATACACAATTTATTTTTTAAATTAAAAATATAAAATTGACTTAAAGAGTATATTAGTATTTTTACACTAGTTCATTTCGATTTTGGGTGTAAGTAAACGCATAAATGAGATTTAGAGTGAGTCTGATTTCGAATCTTATCACCAAGTAAATAACTTATTCTGACTTCGAATCCTACACACTCTGAATCATGTCCACTCCAATTCATACTTATTCCGATTACGCGTAAGTAAACATGTCATAAGAGTGTTAATTACAAACCTAAACCTAAGTTTTGTTTTGGTACGGACATTAATGAAAATAGACACTTTTTTTTTTCTTATTTTAAGGGTATTAATTATGAATGTGCGGTGGAAAATGGAGAGGAGTGGAGAACTTTTGTTTTTTTTTGTTTTTTTTTTTTTTGATGTCATGATATGTATTCTCTATTCTAATCCTGCATATTTTGAGAGATAAAATTGAGGCTCTTTAAAAAAAAAAAAATTTAAGGAAAAATTACTTTTTGGTACCCTCTGTTATATAAAAATTTAAGTTTAGTACCCTCTATTTTTAAAAATTTTATACTGGCACTTCAACCTTTTAAAAAATCTTTTTTAGTACGTGAGAGCCATTTTTAGAACACGAAAAAGATAAAATTACCCTTATTATAAAAATTTATTTGTTGAGTAGAATTTAAAAACAAAGAATTTGAAAAAATAATTTTGAAGAGATGAATTTTTAAAAAAGAATTATAAAAATTTTTAAAATTCTTTTTTTTCTTTAAAATTCTAGTTAACATGTAAATTTTTACAATAAGAACAATCTTATCTTTTCTTGTCTCAAAAATAACTCCTAAACTAAAAAAATATTTTTTAAAAAGTCATTGTACCAACATGAAATTTTTGAAAACAGATGGACCAAACTCAAAATGAAATTTTCTCATTTTAAAATCTCACTCAATTGATTTCCTCCTCTTTTCCATCATACTAAACAAACTACAGGTAAAAAATCCTTTCCGTTAATCTTCTCACTACTTTTCTCTACTGTCCAACAAGCTCTTAAAGTATGTAAAGAGTCGGCCTGAATCAATGGAAACTTTTGTGACAGTAAATTGCCAATAAATTTCAAATCAATGACAACCCACTTGAGCCATACTTTTCCTTTCTTTCTGTTATGCAGTTGTTTTATTTGATATGCAGTTTAGACAGAATTTTTCTTCTTGATCAAGTATGCCCACTAAAATAAATCTTGATTGCATGTTCATTTATTTTAAACTAACTTAAGTTTGCTTATGTTACGTGCAAATAGAGACTTTACAAACTTGATGCCCGAAAAGTGGTTTTCCACGGTCTTGGTCCGCTCGGCTGCATTCCTTCTCAAAGGGTTAAATCCAAAACAGGCCAATGCTTAACACGAGTGAACCAATGGATTCAAGAGTTCAACTCCAAAGTTAAAACTCTCGTCGCCTCTCTCAACTCGCGCCTCCCGAATGCAAACCTAATTTTTGCAGACACATATCCTGCGGTTTTCGACTTGATTTCCAATCCCACTGCCTACGGTAAACAACCACTTCATTTTATCTTCCTTTCTTGGATTAGTTATAATGAAGATAAAAGATTGTTTCAATAGATCAACAAATGTGTCATTGGATGCACCACATTTTGTAGCAAGACAAGCCTAGCGGGCTAAAATTGTGTTTGCGTTTTCGCTTCAGGTTTTAAGATCTCCAATACGTCATGTTGCAATGTGGACACGAACATAGGCGGGCTATGCTTGCCGAATTCAAAATTGTGCAGAAACCGCAGAGATTACGTTTTCTGGGACGCATTCCACCCGTCGGATGCAGCAAATGTGGTGCTTGCTGATAAGCTCTTCTCCACCCTCTTCTCTGATAGTCCTTCAATTGCACCCCAGCCTTCACCCTGACTAATTATGTTAATATACACACAAACATAAATTATGGTGATAACTAATTGTAGTCCAAGATATGAATGGCGATTGTAAGACGTTATGATCAATAAGGGAAATAACCTACGATTATAGTTCTATTGATCTCAAAGATGGCTCCTTCAACCTTTTATATCCTAACCAGATTATTGCAAATTACCCTTATTTTTGTATTAATAAGTATTGGCATAAAGTGATACACCCTCAATATGCTGAATAATTTCTCATGAAAGGAAGTTATAAGATCATTCCCCAAGTTTATTATTAACTCTAACTGAAAATATGACAAAGTAAAAGAAAAATCATAAACGAAAATCCATATCCCTTTTCTAGAATTATGCATTAGTGTCGACTTGGCATTCAAATTGCCATTAAGATTGAATCCAACAAGGGAAGCAAAATCTACATGCCCACAGAAATAGATTAACCAAATATGTTTTTGTATTAGTTTTTCTTTCTAGTTATTTTTTTTAAATAACTAACTATTTTGAAAAAAAAAATGCAGATCTAAACTATCAATAATGTATCATTTGAAATCAATAACCAAAACCACATAATAATAACAAAAAAAAATTAAGATAAAATTCACAAGATTTGAAATCAATAACCAAAACAACAAATATAACTAACTATTTTGGTTATATATATACATATAAAAAATTCAAGAAGAAATAATTAGAAAAACCAAAAGGATACCATAAATTGGTCAATTCGTGTGCTCTCAGTTTAAAGGCCAAGATTTTCCACATGAGAGAACGAAAGGGAAGAGACGAAGCTTCTTCAAACTAAGCAAAAGAAAACCAAAACTTGAAATGCTTGGGAAAACCTTCCTCTCAGATCTAAAAAAAGAGGCGAAAACACAAAGAAAAAGCCTCCATTTCTAGAGGAAGAGAATCACAAGGCAAAACCAAGCACAACAAGTTTTTCGATGGCTTAATTCCGAAGAAGCTCGTTCCCAAACCCTAACTTCTCCAATTCGGTGTGGTTAAAGCAATACAAATCATCATCAAGCACAAACAAACCAATTTGATTGAATGAAAGAAGGAAAGGAAGAATAAAAAAATCAAAAGTGTTTGGGAGATGAGAAAAATTTTGTGGAACCTACGAGAAAGGGCGAGAATCCAACGAGGACGAGAAACTGCCTGTCCGAAAGTACCAAAAAATTTGATTTAGCATCTCATCATATTCCCTTTGCCTTGAAATCTAACAGCAGAGAGAATCATAGTTAGATAGATGCCTTTTACCCATTTTGAAATTATAAGCCTAAAATGAACCAAACAAAACAACTACACAAACATATGGCACAGCTCTGCTCGAGTTGAGTAGACGTGATGCCTTATATAGAGATGACGAGATTAGGGTTTTGGGCTAATTTACTCCAAATACCCTTCCTTTAAAATAAAATAATAATAATAATAAAAGAGGAGTTTCTTTCGTAGCCAACTAGCCCTTATAAAAATAATACTATCAGTGTTTTTTATTAAAATCTGTTATGTATATTTTATTAATTTAATGTGATTTTAATTAAATTTAACAGTTAAAAATTAAAATTATTGGTAAAAAGAGATTATTCCTTAATAAAAAAAATTACAAATAACCTGGGTGACATTTTAAATGGCTCTTATAGTAAAATCATCATTTAGTACCTTGCATTTTTCAATAATTTTAATCGGGTGCCTCAACATTTTAAAAAATATGTTTTTTGTACTCAAAAATTATTTTTTGGGACATGAAATATGGAATTTATCTTTTTTAATAATTTTTAATTTGGTTGCTCAGAATGTACTTTTTATTAAATTTTATAAAATAAACATTAAGGACCTTCTCCAGTACGTCAATTTATCGGTAGGTTAAGTTTTTTATCCGTCAGATCTGTATAAAATCACGTAAAAGTAAAAAAAATATACAGATCTAACGGTTAAAAAACCTAACATACCGGTACACTAAGCTTACTAGAGAATCTCCCTAAACATTATACTTGTAACTAAGCATTCTTTTTGCTTTTGAAAATTTTAAAAGAATAAATTCTAGTCATGCAAGTTACAAATTATTAAAAATGACAAATTCGCCATTTTTTTGTCCTAAAAAAGCCTCAGGATATCAAAAACTAACTTTTTAAAACATTAAAGTACTAATTTAAAATTATTTAAAAAATATTAAAAGGGGATTTCGTTATAATATAAAGTACCAAATTGAAATTATTCCTAAATAGGTCATTTGCAATACATGTAACTTAATATAAAAAGGCACTTTAGTAAACTACAAAATTTGTTTTAAAAAGATTAAAATAAAATAAAAAAATAATTCAATTGCTTCGTCTTTATCCCTTAAACAGTCCATCTTTGATTCTTTGAGCATTTTTGCTATTTGCAACGTTCTAATTCATTTACACCCTCCAATTTCTCACTTTCTTCTTCATTCTAACTTTAAAAATTAGATTATTTTGATTCCTCTGCCTATGCTTCACAAATCATTCTATTGCCGGGGGAGGGACGATCGAGATCACGGTAGCTCTGGCTTGTGACGATAGATTTGGATCGTGGCGACAAGAGGTAGAGATCCGGCGGTCTTGGAGGAAGGTGGAGTTCAAGGTTTTAGCGGAGGAGAGGGAATTTGGAGGAGCTGCCGCAATTGTCATGACATTGAATCGTCCTTCCAACCAACCACCGCAAAACCAAGCCCTCCTCTTCCCGTCGCGAGCCGGACATTACGAGTTAGGTCCAATAATCAGGCCACCATCTCACTGTCATGCCCAAGACTACACACAAAATGTGCTGAATGACATTGATTTTTGTTACACCATGGTCGACCATTCAAGCCACCTACTTTTATCGTATGTGTCGAGAGCTCCAAAAGTCAGGACAAATCCCTGATGTCGAGAACTAACAATTAGGGAGATGTCTCTAGGTTGAGGAGCGCTCTTGAAGTCGAGAAGTGCTTAAGGTCGTCTTAAGGCCTTTACGTCGTTGAAGTCGAGAAGTCTACTAAAAGCCCTTTGAAGCCTCTGCGTCGAGGAGTCAAGGTGTTGGAGTCGAGAAGTGCTTAAGGTCCTCTCAAGGCCTTTACGTCGTTGAAGTCGAGAAGTCTACTAAAAGCCCTTTGAAGCCTCTGCGTCGAGGAGTCAGGAATTAGATCAGACCGGAAGCAGTCCAGTCAAATCCAGCCACGGTCTTGTCAACTCGAAGAGAGAAGTATTGATCCGACTGCTACTGCAGGAGTCAGGAAATCAGGCGGCAGATAGGAAGGATCAGCCGCGTTTCCCGAAGCAGTCATCATGAAAACCCACCTACCCTCACGGGGATCGAGGGCAGAAGATGGCTTCTTCCTTAGGAACGGGGAATACGTATTCACATGTAAAGGCCTATAAATAGAGCCAAGAAAACTGAGAGGGTGAGACACCATTGATATTACAGAGAGAACTTGTAAACATCTGAGAAAATAGTGCATGCACAAGTGGATTAGGCAAAGAATTATTGCCGAACCACTATAAAATTGTTGTCTCCTTTACATTATTTTTCAGTTTTTATCTTTGATTGAACCGTGAGTGTTTTTGGAAGAGGTAATTACGAGTTGTCGGAAAAATACCGTCAACAATTTTGGTTCTAGTTTTATATTTGTTGATGTTTAATATAATCTTATCCATGGGTTTGATATGTGAGTGATGTTGGTGTTGATGTTGATGATTCTGGGCAACCAAATTAAGAATTTGGGTTTGAATATTGATGAGAATTTTGGGATTGAAATCAAGAAGGTAGCTTCGTTCTTTTGTGTTTTCTTATTTAGAAATAAAAAATAAAAAAAAATTAAAGTTATCCGATGTGTTCTTTTTAGTGGGAGATATTGTGGTCTTTTCACCACAAAATGAGCTTATGTAATGGGTCATCTAATTGAAACCGTGAGAAAATGAATGGAAATTGAATTGCTAATGATTAAGGAGTTTGAGGACCGTTTTGTCAAAATTAAAAATATAAAGATTAAAGTGTCACATACTCAAGAGATTAGAGATTATTTGTACTAATTATCTAAAATAAAAATTGAAAGGTTGGGTCCAATTTATAAATGACCAAAAAATTTGGGATGTACATGGGTAGATTACCATTTAAATTACAGACAGAATTTATTTTTATTTTTATTTTTATTTTTAATGGACATCACTTTCATACCTTATTTAATCAAAGTGAACACCATTATATAGAATGCTCGATTCGGTCTTTGAATCAGAAATGTTTGGTCTTATTCACAGTTGAATCGGTTTTGGTGGTTAATTCAGTTCTTTTTTTTTTTTTTTTTTGGGTACCCCTAGAGAACATCCATAAGAATAGTCAAAATCTAGAAATTAAAATAACAGTAAATATACAATATAGACATCTATCTATTAAATTATGGGAGTTTCATTACTAAACTTATATTTTCTTATGAAAGAAGTTACAAAATATTCCGAGCATAAATAATAAATATAAGTTGTAATCATTATTTTTTTAAATATTATTTTTGATTTTATATTTATAAGTAACATAAAATAATGATAATAATTTAATTTTAATATGAGGAATAAGTCTTAATCCCAAAGGACTCATGAGAATGCCAATCTCATTATTTTATTTTAAATTTAAGTGGAATTCACCAATTTTATTCTCATTTTAGAATAAAAAAAAATAAGTAAATATAAAATTAACTCTCATTCTTCAATCTGATAAGTAAATATGCTATAGAAGTGATTGCAGGGCCAACCTAACAATAATCCACAAGTCACTCTAATGTTGAGGTCAAAATTGGAAAAAGAAAAACAAAGACGGAAAAACAAAGGCCTGGAAAATCAATGTAGAAAAGGGTTTCGAAAAATCTTTTATCATACATTGAAACAAGTCTAATTATATCTCCTGCATTTTATTATTCAATGCAAACACAGTCAGCTAAGTAAATTTGAGCCTCCTGAACTTCTAAAATACATGATTTGAGACCCGTTTAGTTCGCTAATTCGAGTTTTTAATTTGAGTTAAGATCTTTATGTGAGAGCTTTTTACTGTAGCAAAAAAATTAAATATGACTGTTTCTGAGAATTTTTTACTGTAACAAAACTCGAATTAGTGATTTGAACGGAACCTTGAAATATTCTTCTGAATTTTTGAGCAAACTTCAACTCTAAAAGTCAAAAAGCCGGGAATAAAAAGAAGAAAAAAAATCTAACATAAGAGAATAGGAACACCATCAATGCCAATGCCGGTTCTTCAACTCGTTTTGTACAAAATTCTGTGCACCAATTCCTTTAAAAACTATGTGGTCACCATTTTAAACAAAAGCTTACCATGCTACTTTTCTATCTATTCGCAAAATCTTTTCACATCAGAATTGCATAAGCTTCAAACATATAAGAAGCATCATAATTGCGATACTTGTAAAAGCGCCACTTCGAAAATCACTTGCAGAAGAATCCAAGCTAGTGGAATTGAGCGTTGGGGCTGTAACGTTTGCCAGTGTGCTGCCATTCTTGCCAAGACTGCATTGACACAAATGAACAACACATATCAAATTAGCCTAGCTTTCCAAAGCCGTAAAAAGTACATACCTTTAGAGATGATGGCTCTAGTTCAACCAATTGATAATGAATGAAGAAGCTAAGTTTAATATATGCTGTCCAAATAAGCAAAAAGTACTATACCTTTCTAGGAAAACACAGGAACCATGACCTGCCAAAATTGTTTTAGAGGAAGAGTTAAGGCCAGAGAAATCCATAAAAGTCAACAAGCGAAATCAAAAGATCAACTACTGACGCTTACTTGGATCCGTAGTTGTAATTGTAGCCACCCCATTGAAGTCACATGCATCCGCAGCCTTCCCCATCTTATGATAGTAAGCATCAAAAGCGAAAGTTGCATGAGAAGCCACATTATCGGGTTCATAGCACGGCTGTCCCTGCAACAAAGGTGAGCAATCCACTCTGCCAGGACCACAAGCCCAATCCAGTGCAGCCTGCAGCATCTTTTTATCGGCACCTTCCATTGCGGCACAGTAAGTTTGATTGGTAGTATCATTGGCCAACACATTCCCGGAATCTGTCAAGTGCATAATGTAGATTGGCACACCATTTACATCAAACAATCCCCAGTTTTTCTCAGAGACAGGTCCAGGCTTTTTGTCTTCATTGTAGAGTTCGTAGATGAAAGTACTAACAGCAAGCCCTGGACGTTTGGGAGTTCCAGTTTTGTTCAGAACACGCCTTATCAGATTGCTGTTGTAAGTATTGGCATTCTCTAAGGTTGCATCCGGTTCATTTGAATCACCCTTGGAAGGCCAGCCTGTTTCCGTCACCACCACTTGGGTGTTAGTGAAGTTGAGGGAAGCCATAGCAGCATAGGTTGCGTCGACCACTGCATCAAACACATTGGAGTAATGGAGCAACGTGTTAGAATCGACAGCCTCTTTTTCAGGAGAGAGAGGCTCGAAGAGGGCGTAATCCAATGGAATAACACCATTTGCTTGCATGTAATCATAATAAGGGTAAATATTCAGCATGAGATACGATCCTGACGACTGCAAGAACTCGAGCATAGGGACCAAAACTGAATTCCATGAGCTGTTAAAGAAGGCTTGGGAAGGTGGGAATGAATCGAGGATAATTGAGGAAGAAAGAGGAGTCGAGACTTTGATTTGCCGGTCGAGATTGGAAGCAACGAGGGCTGAGTTAATGTACTTGAGGGCATTGACAAGGACTTTTGCTGCATTGGGAAGGGTCGTAAGGACCTCAGAGCCTACACATATGGCTGTGATGTTAGTGGCAGGATAATGAGCTACAATATTCTGAGAGACCCAATTAGCCGCAGTTGAATTCGATTGGCCAATTCCAAGGAGCTGTTCATTGGGGATAGAGACAATAACTTGAATGCCTGAATTAGCGAGTGCAATGAGCATGCCACGGTCAGCATCATATAAACGAACGTGTCGAATTTGCTGGGCTTTGAGGAGGGCTACAACTTGTGTAGGGTGTGGCATGTCTGAGAGCTCTGTTCCAATGTTCACACCAATGAATGCATCTGAAGCCAAAGAAGGAAAGAATTATCACAACCATCATAATTTTGTATATGCTTGGACCATAAATATATATAGCTAGCAAGTTGCATTCATTATCATAGGAATAAAAGAAAATTCAAGACAGATTTAGGAGAGCAACTTTTTTCTCTAACTAAACACATAAATATATGGAAATATATAAAAAAATACTATGCAAATGCTCATCAGAAAGAAAAAAAAAAGATAAAAGAAAAAGGAAAAGAAAAATACTTCTTATCCCTTTAAAAAAAATACTACGTAGAAAACCTAGGACAACAAAATGCAGCAATCAGCACAGCATTTTCCCACGCTTATATCAGATTCCAAGAACTTAAACAGAATGAGCCCATATCTTGAAACCTTTTAACCATTTTACACTTTCAAGGTAAAAGGTAAGAAGTGATCCATGAGCTGGAAGGCAAATTGTCATTGTTCTTTATATTTTTAATTGAACATTAAAAAAATATATATGAAAACCGCTGCTTCGGTAGTAGCAAAAACTGGGAATCCACACAACACATCTTCTTTTGTTTTCTTCTATGTAATATGAAGAAAATTACCATAATGGTTGTGGTCCTCCATAAGGCAGAGTCCAAACAAACAATAAAGTATTACATATACATATATTTGCATATATTTGTTCAAGAAAGGTTAAAAATGTTTCCAGAAAAAAGTACTAAAATTAAAAATTAAAAAAAAAAAAAGAAACAGTCTCCATTTACTTGCATTTATCACCCCCAACTCTCTTCTGTCCTTTATTTTTGTCATTAAATATTTCACCTACTTAAGTCCGCAAGACAAACTGATCATCCATGTTTGACCCCTCCCTCTCATACAACAAACAGAAACAAATATTCTCACCTTATATATCATTGTTATTATTTAGCAAACTATATATATATATATATATATCTATATAACTATCAATAGTATTGCTATTAACTAACTCAAAAACCAAGAGAGATTTTAGAAGTCTATAATTTGAACAGCGTCATTGCCAATTAATAAGAACCATGGATTTTCATTTGCGTTAATCATTAATTACTTCATTTGCAAAATAATAGGTACTCAAATTTTAAGCATTTAGAAGGAAAGATATGAAAGTATTGCTCCACCACCAAAAAAAACAAAAATGCAAAACATACAATGAGAACCCATTTATGTTTTGAATGCTGAAAAGAAATAAAAGCCTAACTAACATATCTCATGAATGTAGATTGAAGGGCAAACCCATTACAAATGATAAACAGTAAAGAAAGAAGAGAAAACCCATAACTCACCTTCATCAGCTGTAGCAGCAGAAACTGCTAAAAGTAAAAGAACAAACAGCACCGCCATTGATTTATGCCACCAGCAAAAACCCACTAAAGCTATTAAGATTTAAGACTTAAGAGAGAGAGAGAGAGAGAGAGAGAGAGAGAGAGAGAGAGAGAGCAGAGAATGAGTGTTGGAGTGGGAACAAAACCAATCAAAGAATGAAAGGGAAGTAATAATAAAGGGTGGATTCAATAAAGTTGTAGGAAATATATTTCTATTATATACAAGGGTAAGAAAGTGACTAAGAGAGAGAAGAGTGGTGCCCACAAATCACGTGGAAAGCTTTGTCAGGAAAACTGACGGCTCAGATTCAATCTCTACAAATCACAGTAAGCAAAGCAGGGTAGTAAGAGCTAAACCATGTTGTAGTTGTGTAGCCAACTTTTTGCTGTGAAGTAGCCGTTGGTAGGCCTTCTCTTATTGGTCTCTGTGGTGTTGCTGAGGGAGACAAACCACTGTTGCTACTTCTATGCATTTTTTGGCGTTATAACTTTTTTTTTCTTTCTTTTTTTTGGGTTTTGTGAGCTTTGATTTTGAAGAGAGACCGGAAGAAAGAGACAAAGAACCGCCATCGTTGGAACCAGACACACTCAGCTAGGCCCAACGGTCATTTTCTCGTCCTTTCTTTCTTTGCAGTCATCCTTATACTTGTTTGTCTCTCCCACTTTTTTCATTTTCATTTCCACGGGGCCTTCTTTTCAAGAACAGAACATTTTTCTTTCTCACTCTCTCTCTCTTTTTTTTCCTACTTTTGAAAATGAGAATTGCATTCTAAATTAGAGCAATACAAACTCTAATAGTCTAAAATCTTGTTTATTTTACTGATTCGAGTTTAGAATTTGAGTTTTATTACAGTAAAAAACTCTCAAAAATAATCATATTTAATTTTTTTTTTGTTACAGTAAAAAATTTTCAGATAAAATCACATCTCAACTTAAATTAAAAATTTAAATTAGTAAACTAAACGGACCTAATTCAATGCGAAATACCGTAACGTATTGAGCCATGTAATCCCAATCATTCACCCGAACCATTTGTTTGTTCAACTGAAACGTTTTAAGAGATAATATATGTATCCAGTTATAATAAGAGAAAACTAAAGAAACAACTGCTAAGTGTTCTTTTTTTTTTTTTTTCATGATTTGAATTACATATGTAAAAGAAAAATACTATAACAATATAATTTAAATCATATCAGAAATTAAAAACATTTTAAGGGAAGGACAAAAATCACAATTATTTAAAAATAATTTAAAAGGCTAGTTGGGCTCAAGGAAGACTTAACTGGCTGTGTCCTTAGAACTAAGGCCTATCACAACGTTGTAAGAAAAACTTACGAACTAGACATGAAGATAAGAAAGGAAGCTGTTAAGACCTTTTCTGTCATTACAATGGCAAACAAACAAAACAATAAAAAATATGAAAACTATAAATGACGGAAATATTAGGGGTTATTCTTTTACATTTTTGAGTTAGAGTGATTTGAGTGATGATTTTGAGTTAAAGTTATAACTTGAGTTTGTGTTTGGATGTGCATATTTAAATTGAGAATCTTTTTGAGTTTGTGTTTGGGTGGATCAAAACTTAAATTTGTATTTATATAGTATTTTAATAAAAACTCAATAGTGATGAAAAATTTTAATAGGGTATATGTGTGAGATTTTATTCGTTTTTTCGTTGTGAATGCATAGAAAAAAATCATCTCAATCAGAATTAAAACGAAAAAGTTATGACATTTTTAATAGTAGAAAAAATATTATTAATCAATTTGAGTTTGAATTTTTGAACTTAAGTTGAAGGAAAAACTTGAACTCGAGTTGAAGGAAAAACTTGAACTCAAATTTAGTTCCAAACTCGAGTTTAAATTCGAGCTCAAACTCGAGTTTAAACTCAAATTTTACAAAAGAATATGAACTTGAATAAAGTTGTAACTCGAGTTCAAATTTTTTCTAAATTTTGTTGCAAAAGAACAACCTCTTAATAACTTTATTTTAACAAACACATAAATCAAAACAATAGGGCAAAACTCAAAACACACCAATCAGATCTTCAGTGACAGCTGACCACTGTCACTGTTGAGCAAAAAAGTCATAACACCACTGTCTACCCCAAACGGTTTGCACTAAATAATGTAGATTGAATTAAAAAAATATCGTAATGAGTTATAAATTATGATTTAAATTATGACACGAATTCTCATATTAAATACTTAATAATATAGACACCAACTTAAATCTCAACTATTGCGTATCAATTGATGTGATATGTGAGTTGTCATTTTTATAGTGACGTGTGTTTAAAACATTGTCATCTTAATCAATAAAAGAGATTGCATCTACTAATAAAAATATGAACATAAACTAAAATTTAAGTTAATGTCTCTGACATTACTCTTGAATTAATTAAATACTAATAGAGATGAACATCTAAGGAGATTAGAATTACAAATAAAATGCATTGTTGATATAAATATTCACTATCCTAATACTACAATATTTTCTCGTATAAAAATTCTAACTTAATTTTTTATTAGAAAAATTTATCTCACATAAAAAAATTTGAGTTGTGAAAAAAACACACTCATATATTCCATGAATTTTCCAACCTCCTACTTTTTATTTATATTATTTATTTTTTTGGTAAGAAACGTCTAACCTCCTTTTTTTTTTTTTTTTTTTTGATAGTTGTCTACCCTCCTAATTAACACTATACGTAACATTTTCTTGATGTAACTCAGGGTTCAAGACTTCTCCATTTTATGATTTTTGACCTGTATTTTTTTTTTCCTCATGATTTTTAACCTGTATACATATATAACTGTTGCAAAAAAGGCACTTGAATTCTCTTCGCGCCGGGAGCTTTGCAAATGTGGGATTAAATGGACCAGTATTTTGCATCACTAAGATGTTGCATTCATAACCTCCTTTATTAATGAAAATTTTGTTTTCTCAAAAATGCCCTTTAAATAAAAAAAAAAGAAAATTAAATTTCATATTTTTCCAAAAAACAAAAACCCCCATTTTCTCTTCTTAAAAAAACGTCATCCCCTTTCCACCAGCATCGTCCATCGCCACCACCCCTCCTAAAACCGCTTTCTATGTACTCCAGCCACCACACTCTCTACTAATTTTCACGCTTCGGGTGTTATTTCTCGACAATAAAGAGGAGTTTAATTTCCATAACATTTTGATGCGTTAATCTCTAATCTTGTTATTTTTGCTGTAAATTAGTCTTTAAATGATTGGGTATTCATACTTAGGACTTAAATTTGGGAAAACAAAAGATACTTCATCTCATTTCACTCCATTTTTTAACCTCAAAAATCTGCAAATTCGAAGAAGTCCGTCATATGATCTAAAACAAAGAAGACCAGTAAGACCGGTAAGATCGTTAAAGACTGATTACCTTTTTATTTTATATTCTTTCAAACACTAATTTTTTTTGTTGTTTTTATCGGAAAATAATTGAGATAATTATATATTATCGACATGATTAGGAATAGAAGGAAAAAGATGATGAATCACATAAATGATGCCAAAAAAAATAAGGAAATCAAGATATTTTGTATTAGTGTTTTGAACAAATTTGTATTGGTAAACCGTTCTGAGATAGTTAAAATATATTTATTATTTTATTAGTTTATTTAGACATTAATTATAACATGACGTCCAACGTGTGTTCTATTATTATTGTCAAAGTTATATTGTTATAACATTATTAAAATAAAGAATCAAAAAGTCATATTTAGAAAATGATACTATTTACTTTATTTTAGAATAAGAAGATCGGATCTTGAATTTTATCAGTCCTACCAGTTTTATAAGTCCTACTTAGATGGGCTTCGTTACACTCGCGACTTGAGGGTCTTATTAACCTAAGATCATGGCAGTCTTCTCAATCATCTTAGACAACTTGTGTGATTAATAAAATTCTACTATGTTATATGTAATTATTATAATATGACGTCCAACGTGTGTTTCTATTATTATTATTAAAACTATATTGTTGTAATATTGTTAAAATAAGGAATCGCCAAATGATATTTAGAATATCATACTATTTACTTCATTTTAGAACGAGAATATCGGGTCTTAAATTTTATCGGTCCTACTAGCTTACCAATCCTATTGATCATATTGTCCCTTTTTTACTAATCTAGTTCGTTGTTTTGCGTAATTGTATCTGTCTACCTAGTAAAATTGTAATACTCGTGACTTGAGGTTCTTATTAGCTTAAGATCATAGTGGTCTTCCCAATCAATTTAGACAACTTGAGATTCTACTATGTTGTACATAATGATTATAACTTGGCGTCCAACGTGTGTTTCTATTATTATTGTCAAAGCTATATTGTTGTAACAATGTTAAAATAAGGAATCACCAAATCATATTTAGAAAATCCTACTATTTATTTCATTTTAGAATGCAAAATTGGGTCTTAAATTTTATCGGTAATACAAGTTTGATTGATCCTACCGATCCTATCATCCTGTTTTTACCGATCCACTTTGTTGTTTAACGTAATAGTGGTTGTCTACTTCATCAAATTATAATACTCGTGACTTAAGGGTCCGTTTAGCGTAAGATCATGGCGGTATTCCTAATCATTTTAGACAATTTATGTAACTAACAAGATTCTGCTATGTTATACATGATGATTTTAACTTGATTTCCAACGTGTCACGTGTGTTTATATTATTATTGTCAAAGCTGTATCGTTGTAACATTATTAAAATAAGGAACCACTAAATCACATTTAGAAAAACCTACTATTTATTTCATTTTGAAACGGGAAGACCGGGTCTTGAATTTAATCGGTCTTACCGATCTTTTCATCCTGCTCTTCCCAATCCAGTTCGTTGTTTAGCATAATAGTAGTTGTTTACTTAATCAAAGTGTAATGCTCACAACTTGAGGGTCTCATTAACTTAAGATTATGACAATCTTCCGAATCATCTTAGACAACTTATGTAACTATAAGATTCTACTATGTTATACATTATGATTATAACTTGATGTCCCACATATTATTTTCAAAGCTATATTGTTGTAACATTATTAAAATAAGGAACCACCAAGTCATATTTAAAAAAAAAAATTACTATTTACTTCATTTTAGTATGGTAAGATCAGGTCTTGAATTTTATAAATCTTATCGGTCCTACTGATCCTTTCGTCATATTCTTATCGATCCAATTCAATGTTTAGTGTAATAGTGACTGTTTACTTAACCAGTGTTTGGTATGAGGATTTGTGTTATTGTTAGAATCATGGTTCGTGACTCGTTACAGTATTTTCTCTCTTAAAAAACACATATAAATTGAGAATTATTCTGAATCTGTGAACCAAACGTCCACTTAGTCAAATAGTAATGCTCGCGACTTAAAGGTCTGATTAATCTAAGATCATGTCGGTCTTGTCAATCATCTTAGACAACTTATGTAACTAATAAGATTCTACTATTATAGTTGTGCAACATGTGTTTCTATTATTACAAAGCTATATTGTTGTAACACTCTGTACGTTGTTTTTTAAACAAAACAAAAAAAAAAAAAACCCTTTTCAACATATAACATCTCATCCTATGAAAGACCTATTCAATTTTGTCAACGAATTTGTTTAGACTACCAAATATTCAAGTATCTTTTACCATAATTAATATCATTAACAAGAGTAGCCAAGAGATATATCCAAACATAACTTTCATCAACGCCATTCAAAAGCCATTAACTAAATTGAAAATACATCAACTTCAACTAAAGAAACACATAACTATATGAACAATAAATTAGAAAAGTACAACAATACATCTTTAGCATGGGATAGCCTCAACATCATGCCTTCAGTCTTCATTAGAATTGCAGACATAATTCTCCGATGATTACAAGCAGAGTACAAGGGAGGATTGCTACAAACGCTTTTGCCAATATCAACATGCCAACCATTCTCGTGACTCAAAACCATACATCCTGCCAAAAATACGGTTGTACCTTAACCTCATTTTGTGCCATACAAGATGAAAGCAAAGCCCCAAAGTCCTTCGTGCTTTAGGCCATGAGTATGCATGCCATATAGGAAATGCTCGGATTAAAAAAAAGAAAAAAAAACATAACAAAACAATCCGCTCGATGATATTTGCCAGGAACAACTTATCAGGAAACAAGGAACTTAATTCTAATTTACTCACTCTTATACTGAGGTTAAGGTTACTTACGTAAAGCACGCTTTCACTTTTCTCATCAAAGGCTTAAGTTTGGTATTGCTGTAGATTTAAAAAAAATTACTTTTAACTGTGTTAAAAGAAAAAACAACTGTTACACAAAACAATTGAGTATTTGGTAAACTATAATTATAGTAGCTATATTGGTTCCAAAATCAGTGTAATAACGTTTGGTAAATTATAAGGTTGAATTATTGTGGATAGTTAAAAATTACGACTATATTATATTATACTATAATATAATATATATTTATTATTATATTTAATATAATACAAAAAACTATTATTATATAATATATTATATAATTATGATATATAATATAATAATATTATTAAAATAATAACTCAAATAATTAAAAATTAGGATGGTATTATATTATACTATAATATAATACAATACAACTATTATTAAATAACATATTACGTAATTATGATATAGAATATAATAATATTATTAAAATGGTTAATCTAATTACAATAATCATTATTATATTATATTAAACAAATATATTATAATTAATATATTATATAAGTGTAATACACTATAATATATAATAACGTTAGAATTATAAAATTACATTAATATTTAATTATATTAATTATTATATAATATATAATATATTATAAAAAAATAATTATAATATCATATTATTAAAATAATTATAATATTATTATAATATCATATTATATGATAAAATAATAATATTATTGTTATTAATATAATTATGATATTATTTGTTACAATATTACTTTAAATTTAATTTGAGGTATTATGGGGATTATGAAAGTTTTATTAATTGTACTATTCAGATTCCCGCACAATCTAAAAGTTAAAGTTGTTTTTGGACTGTTTCTGATTTTAGCTATAGATTTTTTAAAAAGTACTTTTGAGGAAATTTACCGAACGCTAAAATTAACTTTGCTACAAGCATAAGCTGATTTTGAGAACGAAAAGTAATACTAAACGCAGCCAAAGCCTTTGTGTCTTGTAGTCAGTAATCACACTACACGGCTTAAAAGTGAGTTACACATGAAGCTCCAGAAAAATTGACAAATTATAGATTCAATTCAGACAAATGCTAAGCTAATAGAAGCCTGTTCGTTTTCACTTGCATAACGGCCAACTTTATTCAACCATTGCTTAACATTGATTAAGCTCTCTTGGTTAGTAACATCATACACAACCTGAAAAAATCCAAAACATTAAAAATACAAAAAGGAACAAAGAAGAATGCACTTACAATCATACCATGTGCACCATGGTAGTAGCTTTCCTAAATCGTTCTTGACCAGCAGTGTCTCATTGCATGTTCAGTAAACTATGCGAATGGTAATAAGCAAAAACCAGGACATATAATATGTGATTGCCACATTGCAGAGCAATAAACAATAAAGAATTTATGTACTTGAGCCCTGTCAATCAGACGTGAGTAACAAAGCGAAGGCATTGACACATTGCAAACCAATCAGCTAAAAAAAAAAGAAAAAAAGAAAAAGCTAAGAAAGAAATGCACTGTCAAACAAAAATGAAATTTAAGATGAATATTGGGTCAAACAAATTGTTCTTCATCTAACTTTGGTTTGTGAAATAATATATTTTCATAACTTGAGCAGGAAAACTAACAAATTAAGGGAATCTCAACTTGTTAAGAGCATAACTTGAACATTTCAGTCTTTGCGGAGACGATTAGTTCATGAATTAGAATTATTTTTAATTTACGTGTATTTTTTATGAGAGAAAATACTGTAGCGAAATATGAACTATGATTCGAATCAAAATATAAATCCCCTTATCAAACGTCACCAATTGATTCAAAATCTACCCTACTGTCCTGCGCAAATTTACTTCTATGCATGTTCTACCTTTATACTAGGAAGTAGGAAGCAAAAGAAGACTTGTTTTTTTTTTTTTTTGGCTAGAAATTAAGAAGACTCGGGCTCTTAGTGATACAGTACTTATGCGCAAAAACAAATATTAGAGGGATCAGAGTACGCAAAATAAGCATAACTACAAGGGAGCAACATCCGTGGAAGATATTAACATTTGATTTATGGATTAAAATTATTTTCAATTTACGTATATTTTTTGTGAGAAAAAATACCGTAACGAATCATAAATATGATTCAAATCATGGTACGAATCTCTTACTAAACGTCTCGGCCAATTATACAAAATTACAGAGGAAATTTTAAAAATGAAAAACAGACTTTTCCTATGGAAAAACAAAATTGGACTTTCATTGTCACCAGGAACTAGAACTTTTATACCATGTTTGATAAATAACAACAAACACACACAAAACCATCAGAAACCATAAGAAAAAAAAAAACAAAAAACAAAAAGCTGTCTCCTCTATCCTTTCCATTCAAACATCCATTACCGGGTCCTTTGCAGATATTCGTGTGTTTATGTGTTGTGTATATATAATATATGTTTTTTTTAGGTGATCAAGATATCAGACATTATTTTCAAGAGTAAAAGTCAAAAAACAATCCTTTTATTACAGAAACACGAAGTACTGACAGCTTTTTGGACGACGGCAGCGGCTCTTCCGGTATGGACGACGGCGACGGGAGGCGAAGTTGGGTCTGGTCGGCGGCGATGGAAGGGGATGGTTGCCGCCGGTCTCTCCGTTTTGGGTAGTCCAGTACCGTTGAGAGAGAAATGTACGAGTGAATTTTGGACGGTAGCAGCGGGACGCGACTTCGAGTTTGGAAGGCGGTGATGGGTGGGAATGGCGGCCGGTCGTGATAGCTCTGGTTCGTTAGAGAGAGAGCGACGAGAGTCCCTGATGAGTGATGAAGAGAGTTCGTGAAATTAGGGGTTTGAATTAAGGATTAAGACGTCGTGTTTGAAGTTGATTTTATTTTTGTTTTTTTACGTTTTTTGAGAAAAAAAGTATAGAAAAATAACGTTTGGATACAATTAAAAATAAAAATAAAAATAAGTTTTTAATTTAACGTAAAATGAGAGAGAAATAAAATTATTTTTTATTTTTTCTTCTCTTGAGTACAAAGGGAGAAATATTAATAAATTTTTTTAATACTAAAAATAATCTCTTGACAAAATTATCAAATGTATTTTTAAAAATAATTTCTGTCTGAAATTAAAATATTTTTATTTTAATATAAAAAATAAAATTATTTTAAAATGAGTTTCAAACGCATCCGGCGTTTTTTAATTTTTATTTTTGTTTATTTTTTTTAGATCAGATTTAAGTAGGGGTGCTTAAGTAATTTAACATTAATTAAGAGAAAATTTTAATAGCCACTTAAATTATTTTTTTATAAGAGGGTTAAGGTCGGTTTAGTTTGATAATTTAAATTAAAATATAATTTTATTTAAAAAAATTTTATTATAATAAAAAAATTAAATATGATTATTTTTAAAATATTTTACAAATAACTGAATTCTAAATTTAAAACGAGCGAAAGGAACGGAGTCATGCGACGAGTGTTCAATACGGGTTAGGGCTTGTTTCTGAAACGTCCTGGTTCGTTGTATAAAGCTCCATTTTGGTTAGGGCTTGTTGATTTGCGGGACTCCTAAATCCCCAAAATGAATTCTGGATTGTGTGATTTTGGTGAATTATCGATCAAATACGAGGGCGATGTTAATGGCGATATTTCTTCCGACGAGCTCGACCATGTTCCGCTGTTACGACGCCGGAGCATGTTGATGGCAAATAAGCGGCACTTACATTTGGTGGCTGAACTCATTGCCGTCGAAAATGGAAGCGAAAATCCTTTACTGTTGATCTTTGTTCCAAACTTCATTTTTGTTTTTGTCTTCTTATTTCGCTTTCTGCGTTTTTAAAGATTTGTTTGCGGAATATATGCAGGTCTCGCTTTGTTGTTAAAGAAGATGGAGGCCGTAGTGCATCAGTAAAATCCTAACTCAATGTTCCATTTTCTCATCTTTTTAGGTTTTTTTTTTGGTTTGGTTGATATCATTTTTTGGCAGTTTATGTATATATAAAATTTGCTAATATTTAATTGTAATATGTTGTTTGAAGTTGTTAAAATGTGAAACGCTAGAGATTATTGATAAACAAATTTTGGGGAGGTAATTCAACCTGGTACGGGGAAAGAAACCGATTTGACATTGAAATTCTTTCTTCAGTTGTGGATCAATTGCTGGGCTGTCTGAAATGTTTACATAATTTTAGAATTGTAAATGGTTATTGGCATATCTATTATAACTTAGACATATATAAGAGTTAATGCCTATTACTGTACTGATTATAACATTTTCTTATATACTCTTTTGGAATTGGAGGTTGGTTCTTCACATGAGAGTTGTAGATGTTCGTAATCAGTTACCAATTTGTTCATTTGTCCTTCATATGTTGGTTGGTAATTGTTTTTTTCAAACATTTTTTGCACCAATATTTGGTAATTCGCATCAAGATTTAATTAGTTCGTGGTGCTACGAAAAGGTATCAACCATGTCAAGTTACCACTTGGTCATTTATGTGTCGTGCTGAAACAAGTTAGTGAAATTGTTGAGCAAGATAGCTCGATAGATTCAATTGATTGGAGATGGCATCTGTTCTTTATCATATTTGAATTTTATTGAAAACGGCATATTATTTGCCTACAATTGATTTTGTCAATTCTTTGCTAATTGAGTATGCATCTTCTGTAGGATTTATTCTCTTTCATGCCTGCCTGCTCTTCGAGTGAAGTAGGAGCTGAACTTTTGGAGAAAGAACAAAATCATGAAAATAAAGATTCTGGGGAAGATACTCCCAAAGCCCTGTCCAATAACATTGTGGAATATTCTACAGTTGATCAGTGTTTGCAAAATGGTACTTGTGGTCAAGACATGGGAACTTCTGGAGATTGTCATAGTTGTTTGGAGCAGATAAAATGCCAAGAATCTAATGATAATTTTGCTGAAGTGGGAAAAATTGATTCAAGTATTTGCTCTTTGCCCCAAAACTCAACACTCTCAGAAGTTCCTACAAAAGTCAAGGTTGAATTTTCGGACATGTGCTCAATGGAAGGTGGTGTAAATAGTTCATGTGGTGCTGATGTTCCAACAATTAATGTAAAACATGAGATCCTTGATCACATTGCTTATGATCACTTACGGGATCACGTTGATTATGATCATTTGGATCACATTGTGTTGAAAGAGCGGCAAAGCATGCTATTATCAAGGTGCTATTTCATTTGTCATATGATCATTCCTCCTGCCCAAGGACGTGAGTGTGTGTGTGTGTGTGTGCGTGCGTTTTTTTTTTCTTTTTTTTTTCCTCCAGTATTTGTATTCTGTTGCCACCCCACACCCATGTCACTAGTTTATTTCTAGTGTCAGATGTAAAATCTTTGGTAGAAATTGTAAAATATATGTTCTTTATTTTGCAGGAAACTGCTGGCAAAACCAGTTCTTGAGGTAATTTGTTCTCTTTTTTTTTTATTGGCAGAAATTTTAAAAACCTTAGATTTGTTTTAATATTTTTTGAAGCCTCTTTTTTGTGGTTTGCCAAAGTCACTCTATTCCTCAACTCATTGAAGAATCAAGTTGTTTGGAAAGACTAACTTTCTTTATGGCAGAAAAATAGAGAGCGATAATAGCTAGAACAACTTGCTTGTTAGAATGCTTTTCTGTTTCTATGTCTTGCACTCCCATGAAAGGTATTTTGAAGTGCCTAAACCATTTAAAAGTGCAATTTATTTGAAGATAGTAAATGGAGAGGTAAAATGTTGGTCTTATTAGTATCTTTGTTGTTGTTTTTATTTTATTTTAAGTTGGGCTTATTAGTATCTTGGCGTTAATATTAGTAGGTTTTCCCATATATATTTGAATTTATACCCTTTTCACCCTTGGAATGAGTTGTTCCAATTTCCTATCTAATCCTTTTTCCTTGAAATGCAACTCAAATTGGATTACTTTATTATTATTATTATTATTTTTTATTTTTTCTTTTATAGGATTCCCAATCGAAGTTGGTTATGTGCCTTAATATCAGGGTCTTGTAGTTTTTAACACCTTTTTTTGTTTATGACTTTATGTGTTTCTCTACTTTGTCCCTACTTGAAAAGGCGGAGACAATACCATTGTATTTAATCCTATATTTTCCTTCAAGAAGCCCCAAACATTGCATAAGGATAATGTATGTGCCTTATTATTAAACTCATTGCCATCCTTAACAGCTTTGGTCTGATGGTTTTAATGCACTTTCTGTTATATGTATACACAGATGTATGAATGTATGTGTGTACAGACGACTTATGCTGCGATAGTTTGGGTTTTCTGCAAGCATGTTGTCATATTTTCTAGGGTGATCTATCACTGCGGTTTCTAGTTTTTATGACGTCTTTCTATGACGAATTAAAACTATGCAATATTTTGGTTTATACATATGCATATATATATATGTTTTTTTGTGTGTGTGTGTGTGTGTGGTTCCACGCATGTGGATGGAGTGTACTCTTTATACATGGAAAGAATATATGGCGAGTGTCTAATATATAGTATCAGGTTCATTTTTCAGCACCATCACTTATGCCCTGAAACTGTAGAAGAGTAAATTTTAGAGAAAAAAAGAAAAAAAAAAAGAAAGAAAAATCAAGAAGAGTGTAGGTAAGTAAATTGATGTTGCAAGTATTTGGGATTTCTAGAAGTAGGTGGCTTTATACTTAACTTTACACTCATTTTTCTCGGTTTGTCATAATATTTTCCCCTTAAAAGTGTAGGAATGGATTAAATCGTATTTCAATGAGAAAAATCATTCAAACCACACTATGGAATTTTATATGATATTCTATGAATTAAGAGGCATAAAGTTGTGTAGTTTTTAGGATTCTCTTAATTTGTGCACATTTTTCCTTTCATTTGTCTTTTGCTTGGTGTATTCATGGTTTCTCGATCTTTTCCTTTTTCTTTAGCGAATTGTTATTTACATAATTGTCTATGTTTGGCCTTGCCTTTTTCATTAAATTTTATCCATTTCTCCATGATTTCCTCTGTTATACATGTTAAGTTTGTGTTTCTGCACTCGTTACTCTAGTTGTTTTTAATTTTGTGCTTCTCAGAATAGTTCAGAAGCATTGGCAGGAAACCTTACACAACAGTGTGCTGAAAAAGAATTGGAAGACAGTCATGTTGTAATCGGACAACCATTAACAACTAAAAGTCGATTTGATGATATTGCTGAAAGTAATATTTCCAATCTTTGTAAAACTTCAACATATGGCATCATTACTGATTCCTCTTTTAAAACTGATTAATGCTCAACTAAACAAAGGATATAATAAGCAATAGGGATATTCCAGATAATGATGGGCTATGTTCAACCGCCAGCGCAAATAGCATGAAGGGTTCATCTTTCTCGATCTCTTTCAAAATCAAGGATGAACCTCAAGATGAAAATAACTGCCACAACTCGAACAGCCGTGCTAGGGATACCTTTTCCTCCAACCTTCGTTCAGTGAAGACTGAAACAGAAATCTCGAATGAACTTGATGAAGATGAAGCAGACCATGTATGTCTGGGAGATCGGGTGAAGATGCTGAGGTCAGAGGATGATTCCGTATTAAATCTGTCTAGGAGCTATGAATGTTTGAAGAAGTCTGTGCCTTTTGTCCCTGAGTGTGTCCCTATTGCTTTAGAATCTGTAAAGGGATTCAACATCCGTCCAAGGAAAAGGAAAAAGACTGCCACGTTAGATTTTCTTCTTTTTCTTTTTAGTCTTTACTAAATATGTTGTATATATGCTTTTCAAGAGCCAATCTGACGGTTTGTTAAAACTAATTGCAGGGATTCAGTTGAAACAGCTTTGGAGGAGGATGCTCCTGGACTTCTCGAGGTACTTTTTACTTAGACTCTGCCTTTTGGAGATATGAACAAGATTCATGAAGTTGGTAATTGGCAGGTGTTAGTCGAGAAAGGAGTATCAATTGATGAGATCAAGCTCTATGGAGAGATGGAAAGCGATGAAGCTCTAGATGAGTCTTCCAGTGAAAGTTTTTCAGAGCTTGAAGCTGTTATATCAAAGGTTTGTAACAATTTCGTCCATTAACCGTGCTCTGAGTTCAAATTATAAACTACTATATTTTTAAGCAAACTAAATAACAAATTGGGAAGCAAAAGCAAAGGACTTCATGACCTCACTCAACCCCCTTTTTTTCCATCAGTTTTTTTAACAGAATTCTAAAAGGCGGGGTTAAGTGAGTAATTTAAAATTTAGGGAGCAAAATTGGAATGACCATAGAGTTGAGGGGGCATAGATGAGTATAATCCAACAAATTAATATTGTGGTCTCCATCAAAGTGTCTTCTCAGTTCTTATTTATGCTTGATCTCAATTTCTATCTCAACTTGTTTATCACCGCTTGAGTGATAGTCCAATGTCTACTGTAGTTCAGTTCCATCTTGGACCATCTCTATATTTAACACGTCACTGATAGTGGTGTCTAATTTGTTGGGACAGCTTTTCACTCAGCGCAATTCGTTTTTGAAGCTTGCTCCCGTACGATTCACAAAGGGAGCAAGAGCTAGTTATTGCTTGGCTTGTCTAATATCACTTGTGGAGCAGGTAAGGATATTGCTTGGGCACATTTATTTGCTTGTAATGAATGTAAATAATTTCCTTTCTCAAATTATGTGCTTTGCATGAACATTTACCGATATATTTTCATAATCAGTTCTGTTTTGTTTAAAAATTTTGCATTCAACAGACAAGATATCTACAATTTCGTAAATGGCCTGTTGAATGGGGTTGGTGTCGAGACCTGCAATCTTTTATATTCATCTTTGAGAGACATAACAGGTACATTTGCAGCTTCGAACATGTCTTGAGGTTCATTGTCTTGTCTACTTGAACTGGATGAGCTTGACATGTATACTTGATTGCAGAATTGTGCTGGAACGTCCAGAATATGGCTATGCGACATACTTTTTTGAGCTAGTGGATTCTTTACCTATTGAATGGCAGATCAAGCGGCTGGTCACTGCTATGAAGCTTACAACTTGCAGCAGGATTTCTTTAATTGAGAACAAAGCATTAACGGTAATTATTTCATTGTTTGCCATTTTGGTGGTTGTTGATATCTATCTATTCCTACATACTAAGTGCAAAAGTTTCAAACATGTGGGGGAATGTCTGAAACTTTCGCAAGGGGTTCCCCTCCCAACCCCACAACAAGCTGAAGCACTTTTCTTTTTTTCTTTCTTTTTTTTTTTTTTTTTTTTTTTTTTTTGCGGATGCCATTTCCCCTGTTTTGTTTTACCTGCTTCTGTCTTTATTTCTTTTTGTCCCCTTTTTCTTTCTTTTTTTTTCCAGCAATTTGTATAACTGTTGATAGAAATGCCAATTACTTCTCAATGGTATAGATTTATTTATGGTTGGTGGTTTATCATATTTTCTTTCTAAAAGTTGTTTGATAAGATGGTCTTCAGAATAGAGGCCTTCTTAAGAAGGGAGCGGAAGTAGGTTTTGTGGCTGGCAACTGCACTGGCTTCACCCATTGTCTCTCTAGGACTAATTTTTTTCCTGGTCCGATTTTGTTTTCGGCATTTTCAATTGCTGTTGGTTTTAAGCATGGTTTTCATAAAGGATAAAGATTTAGTTGATCTGTGAAACACTTCACTGGTAATCGTGGTGTCATTTTCTGTTTTATTCCTCTCTCACACCTCTTAAACGTTGGTGTGAAGGTTGGAGAAGACTTGACTGAAGGCGAGGCACAAGTGTTAATTGAATATGGCTGGGTGCCAAATAGTGGTTTGGGAACAATGCTCAACTACTGTGACAGAGTGGTGCATGACCGGAAGAATGAAAAGGACGAGTGGAGATCAAAAATAGGAAAGTTGCTAATGGATGGTTATAATGGTGGAACCATTGTTTCGACCGACATGCCAAAGAAGGTTACGGAGTATAGAGATTCTCACAGCGCACAAATCAAATTGGAGCTACAAGATTGAAAGGTATCCTGTTCTGAAAGTGTCTATTAACTTGTATAAATATAGATTAACTAAGTCTTGGACCGCAGTAGACAGTGAGTTCATACTTGAGGGTATTGACTTGTCACTGACTCACTAACAGTTTATGTAGTAATGGTCTAATGGGGAGTAAAACTGATTGCGCTACTTTCTGAATGCGATCACCACATAGTTGGAAGGTACCAAGAGTTTATAACTCAAATGGAAGTGATCTCATCCTTTTCGTTCTGTTTTATAATCGATGTACAGACATGACATAATGTTTTAGTTCTGTTTTATCTGTTAATGTGCATACACAAACGTGTTTTATTTAAACCAACCAATCATTTGTCTCATCCCTGGTTTAAAATTGAGCAGTATGAGGAGTGCCTCGCCATGAGATGGCCTAGCCTCGCATTAGGAGGCACTCGTTAAAGGCATGAATACTCCTCACATGCATTAGGTGGCCTAGCCTTAACATGGCGTTTTCTTGTTGACGTTTAGCTCAACTTTTTTTTTATTTTTATTTTTAATGTCGTTTTTTTGAAGGTGAAATAAATGAAAAGGCACAAGCCTAGAATTCTTGAGGTTACTCTCACTTTTCTCATGTAGTTTTCGAAAATTGTAGTAAAGAGGCTAATTACTGAGAGATGATATCGTGGCCCCACCAATGAGAGCTCCTCTATCCCATTTCAGGCGGTACCACATTTTCTTCACGTTCCTCGTGGTGGCCCTGTCAGTGAGAGCTCCTTGTAGCTCTCCTCTTTTTGCCGCCGCTCCGCCCCGTTTCAAATGATTTCGGAGATATGATATCTCTTTGCTTCTTGTGTCCCTACCAGCAAGAGCTCCTTGTTGCTCTCCTCTTTCGAACGTTACTGCAATAATGCTGGAGTTAGATCTTGTCACCCGACACCAAATACCTAAAGATTTCTTCACTCCTCACTACTCACTCCAAGAGATCTTTTTCATGGCCAGATCGAAGGCGCAACTGGAACCGTGGCCACTGAGAAGCCTCCTCAGCCCCCTCGTGAGACTCAAAGACCTCAATGGCGCGTGCTCCTTGAAGGAAAAGAGACGGGCAACCGAATGCCTCCTCCAATTGTATGAAATAATATATTAAAGATTGCTTCTACTAGGGGGAAGATCGTCGATAACCGATAAAACCATTGCCACTTATTTTAGTAACTTATTTTAGTAGAATACGATGATCAGCGCCAGAGCAACCACTGATTTGTGATGAAAAAGGCGATATAAACTAATAGATTACCCGGTATAATCGCATAGATTACTTACGTCGTCACTATTGATTCCAACAATGTAATCTGGTAGTGTACCGGTTGTAATCTACTAGATTATTTTGGGGTCGGTGCCTACATTTAACTGGACGTTTCGAGTGACATAATTCTAACCCCTCTTATTGGAGTAGCAGAATTCTTAACATTCGTCACTGTGAAGATTTCCATGCCCCAATTTTGTGTTAAGACGTATGGCCATAGCAACGATATATTACATCTAAAATATGATAGGCTTACAGTACAATGTATTCTGGGCTCCGGTTTCCAAATTAGAGTTTCGTTGTTGTTTGATGGGTTGATCGTTCATGAGTTAAATCATCAAAAGCTCTCAATTAAATTCATGATAATTATCTTAAAACGCTTAGCACAGAAAATAATTTTACAAAATATTCAATGAACACAGGGATAATACATATATACATATATATAAGACTATTATGTGGTTCCTTTGATGGGATAATCCACCCAATGTAACATATAAAGTAATATGGCAATCATTCAACGTACTATTGACGTTAGATAATTGTAAAATAGTCTTTGGATGATTAAAATGACTGTCGTAGTATGTTTTTCACTTCTAAATGTTACGTTGGAGAGACCACAACCGGAGCAAGGGGCAAAAATTTGAAACCACAAAAAGGTCAGGGATAAAAGTGCAAGAAATCCCTTTGGTCAAATTGTTCATGATCTTGTGATCAGAATAATTAGTTACAATGTGATAATGTAAAAAGTAAGAAGGTTATAAACTTTTTTTTTTTTTTTGACTTTGTTCATGAAGTCTCGTAATATCGTACTTAAAACTTCCAGACATCAAAACTTTTGTCAAATTGTTTGCAAATTTCGTTTCACATTTACATAAGATAACAATTCAGCTAAAAAATATTTAATCATTACCTAATATTTTAATGGCGAGTGGAATAAAATAAAAGAAACACAAAAAATTGCGCAAGATTAATGAGATGTTTGTTTCATGTCTTCGGCTCTGATTCTGAATCGTGATTCATCGTTCTCTACAATGTTTTTCTCTCACAAAAAAACACACATAAAACGAGAATGGTTCTGAATCACGATTCTAAATTTATGAACCAAACGTCCACTAGCGATTCCTATTTTCAACTGTTGTAGAATTTCATGAATATTACCAGAGAATCACACAAATCTCATTTCACAACAACATTTGAACTCTACGTTGTGAGGATAATTAGACTCCAAACACTATGAAAATATCTCATGCATTAATATTAGGTACTTGAGCTTTATACAAGCACCAAATTATAAATTTCTTGCAGTGATGGCTACGCTTGGAGTTGATCTGAAACCAAAAGATTCTCTGATTCTTGAATTTGATGTTCATTTCAATCTTTTGAAAGATAGCTAGCTAGCTTACAAAACATAACGCGTTTGGTATTAACGCGTATATTCTGAACGCAATATACGACTTCCTCCCTTCTCAATTCAAACTTCTTAAAAATATTTGTGATTTTATGTGATCAAATACTTCAAAGTCTTGAGCGTTTTCTAGAATAAATTTGTAAAACTTCGACTTAATAAGAAAAATGTTGTCAAATTGACGTTTCAGATTTGACGTGCCTAATTTCGACTCTGCATGGACATTGACTAATTTGGGTAATTGTGGATGTAGATTTTTGTTCTTTTCTTCTGTGGTATAACTGGAAATATAAACTGTCAAACCGTATACGACAACAAGGGCCCACTACATTAGACTTTGTCCTTTTTACTTTTATTTTTTTCCTTAATTTTACGTACAGTACATAAGACTTGAGTATAGATGTCAAAATTTTAGAATTCGTTTAATTCGCTGATTTAAATTTTTAATTTAAGTTGAGATGTGATTTTATATGAGAGTTTTTTATTGTAGAAAAAAATTAAATGTGACAGTTTTTTAAAATTTTTTACTGTAACAAAATTCAAATTATAAACTTGAATCGGTGAAATGAACGGGCCTTAGTTAAAGCTAAAGAGTCCATTTTTAATTAGGGAGAAAGAAAGAAATAGGCCAAGACTTAAGATGAATTAAAATTAATATGCCAATAGTTTACATGAGTTAATAAATAGGTCAAATTACTGTTTTCATCCATAACTTGTCTGGTTATGAACCATAACTTGACAAGTTATTGTCCATAAATCACGGTTTTTATCCATAACTTGTCTGACTATGAACCATAACTTGACAAGTTTGTCCATAACTTATCTGGTTATGAACCATAACTTAACAAGTTATGTCTTATTAATTTCTATAACTAAAAATTGGCCTATATACTTCCTTAAGCTTTTCATATTGGCTTATTTTTTACTATTTCCATTTTAATTATTCAAAAGTCTTATTTATAAATGGAGAAGTTTTATATCGCGTTCTTTAATTTTTAATATGGATATCAATACATCAAATTATTGAAAAATTAATCTAAAACAAAAATTTCTACTAGCATAGCGTCTCTATCTTAGAAGATCCTTTTTCTCTTTTTTTTTTTTTTTTCTTTTTTTTGAAAGAGAGAATAATTGATGCAAAAATTAGTTCACTTTGGCCTATGTCTTAGTTATTATCATCGTTTTTTTTTTTTTTTTTTTTTAAGAAAAGTTATATGATATATCCTAGATATAAATACAATCTTTATGCATGCATGATATAAGTAATACAATATTTACTTTCAATAATAATAATAATAATAATAATAATAAAGAGTAAAACGATGACGTTTTACTTATGTGTTCCAACATATATCGACCTTTTTATCTTTTTGTTTGATTAATTATCTGTTCTACCAGTGAATAGGTGGGTTTTTTTTTTTTTTTTTTTAAATGAAGTGACATGTGGCCTCACAACAATTCTTAAACCAACTTATCCATTTATCCCAATCCCAACAAACTTAAAAGAGCAGCAAATTAATTGCGCACATATACATTTCAAGCTGATGTGCATAAAAATGATTGAGACAAGTTGCACACCGACAAATCTAATTGATAATCTCAAAGACTAAATATGAGAAAAAAAAAAAAAAGACCAATGAAATTGTGCACTAGGTTATGTGTCTAAGTGCTATTTATCCATGTATTTCTTAAATGGGAGCAAATCATATATAAATGGGTGTTCTCCAAAACATCATGTCTGCCTTTCATACTCTAATCTAATGAGTATATTTATATATGGTACACCTTGGCACAATTCCGGAAGAATGTAGAAGCATATACACTCTGCATTTTCTCATCACAAGATAAGGATAAACAGTATAATATATATTGGATGGGGACAATATTGTTGTGGAAAGAATCAAATAGTAGGGCTACCTTTTGAATATCCATGATGAATATCGACAGAAAGTGATGGACATAAAAAAAATAATAAATAATAATAATAATAATAATACAGAGAAAAGGGTACCAAAAGAACTTTCAGTTAATTTAAACAAAAATATTGGTTGAACTTGTAAAAAAAAATAATGCGACTTGACACCTGATAAAAGCAAAAAACAAAATTTAGTGATCAATGGGATAGTTTGTAAGCTTCGTTTAATGACTTAAATTTTGATTTTACACACATCCCAATCTTTTGGGATGTATTTTATTAATAAATATATATATATAATTACTATTCCCAGTTAGTTTTCGTTAATGCCTATGATACAATATTATTGTCAGAAGAAAGGTGTTGATTTCATGGTATAATCCCTTTTGTTTCATCCTTGTGGGGTTCAAAGAAGAAGCTTTATTGTGTAATGGTAATGATCACTTTTCTTGTATAGCTTGGTGTGGTGGGCAATGTATTGTGGCCCTTGAGACAAACGGCTCGAACCTGCTCCAGTTATTATTTCAACTTTCTCGGACCATTAATAATAATAATAATAATAATAATAATAATAATCATAAAATAGCACTTCCCAAATTTCCAATTACACAACAGCCACAAAAATCTATCTGCATTGCACGTGCCTACATATGGCAGTAGCACAAATACCAGAAAATGATGGAAACTCTCAGAACTTTCGACTCCAATCAGCTTGATTTTCTATTCTATTTTTCTTA